GAGTGCATTCCATCTCTAAACCTGTATCAAGATTTTTTTACCTAAACCAGCAACTGAGTAGGCTCAGAAGTGCTTTCAACCAGGAAATCCATAATCAAAGGTATAGAAATATCACTAACAACTTCAGTGAAAAGCTAATTACATTTAAGCATGAATCACTCATGCTTCTAAGATCATGTATTCTAAGATCATAAGCTTACACACTTCACAAGGTGAATTTCAGGTACCTGGTATCATACATAGAAATATCAGTTAACACCCCTTCAAGATTTACATAACTATGAAATACAGACCTGATTGGAAGACCATAAAATTTGAGACAAGTAAAAGTTTCAGGGAGTAAAGGATTACTTATGCCTTTTTTTTTTTTTTTTTTTTTTTTTTGCTTTTTGGGTTACACCTGGCAATGCACAGGGTTTACTTCTGGCTCTGCACTCAATGCCAACAATGTTCTTCATCATTGATCTTCAATGTTCTCACTATGAAATGGTACAGATGCAAAACTAGTACATTCAGGACCTGTAAGAATTCTAAGCCTTGGGGCTGGAGCGACAGCACAGCGGGTAGGGTGTTTGCCTTGCACACGGCCAACCCAGGTTTGATTCCCAGCATGCCATATGGTCCCCTGGGCACTGTCAGGAGTAATTTCTGAGTGCCGAGCCAGAAGTAAACTCTGCAATGCCAGGTGTAACCCAAAAAGCAAAAAAAAAAAAAAAAAAGAAGTCTTATCTTCTCCAGGGAACTGGGCACCATGTTATCAAATGCAACATTATGGCATAACTACTGAATCAGGAAGACAAGTAAAAGGATTAAAGATGAAATCTCAAAGTGGATTTCTGCATGCAAAGTGAATGCAGAAATGCAAACCTCCAAGGAAGTTAGAGATGACATGAGACTCCAGAACAGTGAGAACTAGTTCACTGTACACCACCTCTCAATATGTGGTTCTTACTAAGCATTCTAACCAATTCCACAAGGAAATTAAAGTTGTCCTTATGAAAAATATACTAAAAAATAAATGAGATCTTTTATCTATGTGCTCTAATTATAATTCATTAAAAAAAAATCTCCTTTTAGCCAGAACGATAGTACAGTGTGTGAGCATCTGCATGAGGCTGACCTGGGCTCAATCCCCAGTGTCCCATATAGTCCCTTGAGCAATACCCCGACTAATTCCTGAGTGCAGAGCCAGAACCCCTGAGCATTGCCAGTGTGACCCAAAAAGAGCAAACAAACAAACAAACAAAAACCACAACAGAAAACTCCTTTCCCATAGGGCTGGAGTGATAGTGTACAGAGAGATAGGGAGCTTGCCTTGCAGGGAGTCAACCCCGGTTCGATCTCCTGTACCCCAGCATCCCACATGGTTTCATCATCCATGTCCCAGCAACCTCCTCAGCCAAATCCCACAGGACTGATTCCTGAGCACAGAGCTAGGAGTAAGCCCTGAGCACAGACAGGCATGGCCCCAAAACAAATCTAAACAAAACAAGAACTTCTTTCCCATTTACTCACACCAAATGACTTTTAAACCTATACCTGCAACTCTTCTTGAGGGGCGTGCACACTGGGGGTGTTGGGCCACACCCAGATACTCTGTACTCACTTCTGGTAGTGCCCAGGAATCAAACCTGGATCAGCCGCGTGGAAGGCAAGCGCCCGACCAGTTGTGCTCTCTCTGGCCCTATCCTTGCAACTCTTGGCTTTGCAACTCCCCCTGGAAGAATATGCCTCATGGGCCAGGAAGACGGTTCCAAAGCCGCTAAAGGCCTGTTTCGCAGGGAGCTCTGGGTCCCCACCCTGGCCCTGAGCGGTCTTCTAGGCACCACAGGAGGGTCCTGGAGTGTGGCAGAGTTCGCTCCCGGACATCCAAGAGGAGGGTATGGCCCAAAACAAAAGAACATGCTTTACTCGTCTTTAAAAGTATTAAAGCAGCACAGAGAGAACATTATCATTATAAAAAAAAAAAAAGAAAAGAGCGTAAGCCCATTTTTAGGAACACGACTGGTTGTCCATGTAACTGTGGGGGTAAAAAGCACCCAGGGAAGTGGGTACACACCCCAGCTTTTCAGTCTGAAAGTAAAGCGGCACTGGTTTGCTCTGTCCCTAAGCCCAAACAGGACAGGATTACTGTATGAAATTACTTTTCTCTCCACTTCCTCACCTTTAAAGACTTCTCAGATAATATATATTCCATAACCTCTAATTCATCAAATTTCAAAGTCTGGCCTAAATGGGATTATTATCTCAAAAAAAAAAAATCTACCAATCTACCATAAGCCTGGATGCAAATTATGTTGTCAATACTAAAGGAAACTGGAGTTGGAACTACTGAAAACACCAGGAAAAAAAAGTTTCCCAATACTTTCACAAAAACCTATCTGGGCAGATTTCGAAAACTGGGCTAACTACTGTTTCCACAAACGCAATGGATTTGAGTGGATTTGAGACGCTGAATTTAAAAATTAAAAAAAAAAAAAAAACCCGCACCTATCTGTCCAAAGAACCGAAATACACAGCAAGGAAAACTTTATTCCAAAACGATCTGAGTTTACCGGCCAGGCTTTGGGAGGGGAAGTCGCTTCCGATTCTGTTTTTCTCTTCCATGTGGGCAGTGCCCCCAGGAGCGCGGGGATGCCCAGCCCAGTCCCCGCCGGCTGCCCCGCGCCGAGGAACAGCGGCAAACGCGGGCGCCGGCGGGGAAACGCGCAACTCGTGCCGCGGGGGACCCCGCGCCGCGCGTCCGCCGGGGACAGGCGACCCCTCCGGGCCTCCGAGCCGCGCGGGCCCCCGAAGAACCGCTGCTCCGCACCCGCGAGGCTTTTCCCACCGTCCCCGCCGCCGCTCCCCGAGCCCGGCGCGGTCCCCGCACCCTCGGTCCGCCCGGGCGCGGGGTCGCCCGCAGACGCGGCGGCGCGGGGCGCGGGGGCGCGGGGCCCGGCCCGGCCCGCGTGGCCGCAGGGCCCCGAGCGCGGCCGCCCGCACGCAGCTGTCGCGGCGCAGGGCGCTCCCGCGGGCCGGCGCTCGGCGGCCGGGGTGCGGGGGGCGCGGGGGGCGCGGGAGGCGCGGCTCCACGGGCCCGGCCTGCCGGGGCCGCCCGCCCGCCCGCCCGCCCGCACGCGCGGCACCTCAGGCCGGGCCCCCGGCTGCGGCCACCTCTCACCTTTGACGACGCGGTCAGCTCCCGGAGGGGGCGGCGGGGGCGGGGGCGGGGGCGGCGCGGCCCGGGCCGGCTCCGGCGCCGCCATGCTGGGCCCGGGGCTCCGAGGCGCGGGGCCGGCGGGCTTGGGGGCGGGGGCGGCGGCTACCAGAGCCGAGCGGCGGCGCCGCCGGGGAACATGGCGGACCCTCTTTCCCGACAGAGGGGCTCGGCCCGGCATGCACCGCGCGCGCGGGGGCGGGGGCGGGGCCGGCTCTAGGGACTCGGGCGAAATTACTGAGACGGGGAGAGGAACGGGACGAGGCCAAGGGACCAGGTGGAAGTTCTGGGCGAGCAGAAACCAGAGGATGAGGAGCGAGCGGGGGCTGGCTCCGGCTAGTGACTGGGGCAGTGAGAAGCACGACTGCCTTCAACGAACTCTCAGGGAGTTCCGGAGACAGGACCAAACCTCAGAATCCCCTGCTAATAGAGGACGAATGGGTAGCAATTCGGCTACCAGATCTGGGTACTAAAGGGTTGATTGGCAAGGAACAGGAGAACAGAAGAGGAGCATTGTAGATTCTGGAGCAAAAAATGACTGCTCAAAATGGGGCTTGAGAATGTGGCTCCTGCGTTGAGTCTGGCATTGTCAAGTGTCTGAAGACACAACGTGACAATGCAGGTAGAGCAGACAAGGATGCAAGGGCTAGGAAAACTGGGGAAAGCAAAGGATGACACCAAGAGGTACTCAAGGAGTCTGTAGAATTCACCTGAAAAATGCATAGCCTCCTCCTAGATGAATTCTGAAAATAGATTTGGAGAACATAGTTGGAAATTAGTTCCTTATAAATATTTCTGCACCTGGGCCCTTAATTGTTCACTAGAGGTGTATGACACCAAGGAGGTGTATGAAATTGGGTGAAAAGTCCCTCTCCACACTCCTGCTGAACAAAACCCATGCACAAAATACACTCATAATAGATGGTGATAATTCAGTAAACAGAGATCCAAAGCTCCCAAAGGACATTTTTCTACCTCTTCCTTTCAACAAGCTCAATCATCCTGAAACCTATGGTAAAAGAGGGAGAAAATGCTAGCAGGGTATTCCTTGCAAAAGGAATTTAGAGATGAGGACAATGGAAGTGTGAGACAGGGGTAAAAAAGGATTTTTCTGGAAAGTGAAATAATTTCACAGGGGATGTGGCTCAAATAATTTCACAGAGGGTTGGGGACGTGACTAAACATGTCTTGCAAATCTGAAGCCCTGAATTAGATCAGTTCCTTAGGAGTACCACGTACTTCCCACCCCAGCATCACCAGTTATCACCCCATAGCTCTGAGCTGGGAATGGCCACAACAACAATGAAAATGATAATAATTCCACAGGGGAAGCAATGGGCAGAAGTACCCATGGGAAGAGAACAAGAAGGAGAAAGGAGGTTCATAAACGTGTGAGATATAAGGAGAGCAATAAGAGTACATAGAACAGAAATCAGTTTGTAAGAGAAGTTGAAATCCCAACCCCCTAAGGAAGGAAAAGCATGTAATACATTGGAAAGTGAAGAGAAATATACTAGCAATCATAATAAGGAAAAACCGTTCTATTTTAGGACCCAATGACTCCTACTTTGAGTATGTATCCTTCAGCTACTCTCTATCCCCTTTGGTTCTCCACTCAATTAAAACCGTATGTGCATATGTTGTGCCATGGTGCTCTCTTAAAATATTCATGGGGGAGAGGGGAATAGTGGTGTTGTTTGGGATAAGGGGGGTTGTTTGTACCATTACTCTCTCTTTGTGAACCCCAAGCCATTGGAAATTGATATTTCTTATTTATTTAGTCCTCCCCACCCCAATACAAAAGAACAAAGGCATACAAAAGGGATAACAAGAAATTAAATAGAACTATCTTATAGATTTATTAATGAAAAATAGTTTACAAAAACAGTATGTTTGGTCCTAAAATATTTCAACTGACTCTGAGGGTTTACAATGGCAACAGAGCAAGTGGCAGTAATGGCTTGCTGCTGACAAGAGGGTGAGTTAGTGTGGCTGATCCATCTCTTCAGAAGGGGAAATGTTACACTGGCAGCTCTGCATTCCCGGCCCAAGTTTCGGGTACAAAACATAGTACCTGCTGGGCAGAAGGGCTGCCTTTAATAGCCAGGACCATGAAAACAGAGCTACATGTTCTAAGGATAAAGTCTGGTAATGGGAGCAGGTGGATAAAAAACAAAGAACAGAAGCTGTAATACAATAGGGTTCAGCAGACGAGGGCTTAGGTGCGGGCAGGGTATAAAGTATCCAGTAATGAAATAATTACACTAAAATTCTAAGGAATGGCTAATGTTAAAAAAAAAAATTATGGACTCCTCTTCAGAGAGGCTCAAATGAAATCCTAAACAGTAGCTGCTTCCTTTTGCTAGATGCATGGACATTAGAATGTCAAATATTCCCTCTCAGAGAGCCAGGTCGCGTTAGCGGTTTTGGCACACCTAGAAGAAACTGCCAACTGGAGAAGCAGAGAAGAAACCAGTGCACCCAACAGGGCTGCAGGGTGCCAACTCTGTGGTCATCTCATTTGAGAGAAAGCTGTTGGTTCCATGAAGCAGAGAGAGGTGGCCCTTACCACCTGCTGTGCTGTGGGACTTTAGCCCTGATCTGTTGTCTTCTGGGGGTGTCTGCTAGAGCAAACAGAAACTCCTCTCCCCCTGTCCTCCTGCACCCAGATTGCAAGGCATAGCTACTCTGCCTCCAGTCATCATCTGGAGGCATATCTACTCTCCGAGGACCAGAGACCTGAGACCCTGGACCAGGAGTTGCATTCCAGCCTGACCCCGGGGTTGTGTGGAGACTGCTGGATGGAGCTGACACGCGGTGGACAGTAGAAGGGACAGAGGGTGAATAGAGTAGATCCCCCCAGGACTGCATATGAGGAGCCTGAAGACCCTGGTGCCTTTCTGGTAATGTGGCAGTGTGGGTTGGCTGAGGCTTGCATCCCGGAGTAGTCAGGAATCTAGCCTCAGTATGCTGGTTGCTCCCTGACCAGGGTCCCCAGGAGGCGTCTGTTCTGGAACGATGCGGGAGACTCCAGTAGTTCAAAGTCCTTCCTGTGTACTTGACCCCTTGGGAAGTTTCACCCCTGTCACACATAGCCAGAAACTGCTGGACACTCCTCGAAGTTCCTAGGAAGAGGAAAGAAATCCAAAGATTGAACATCTTCAGTAAACCATTCTCTTTCCTAAGAGGACCATTCCTGCCTCTTCCTCCCAACTCCCCCTACCTACAAAAACATACACACAAATTTAATAGAAAAAATTTCTTTTTTTTTGTTTGTATTTTGGGTCACACCCAGCGATGCACAGGGGTTACTCCTGGTTCATGCACTCAAGAATCACTCCTGGCAGTGCTCAGGGGACCATATGGGATGTTGGGAATCGAACCTGGTTTGGCCGCGTGCAAGGCGAACACCCGACCCACTGTGCTATTGCTCCAGCCCCGAAAAAATTTCTTTATACACATCAAAATCAAGTAAATGTCTTACCTCTAACATGGGCAAATGAAACAGTTTTCTGGATGTTGCCATACTTCACTCACTCCATTAAAAATCTTCAAAATGCAGGCGCACGCACACACACTCGTGCGTGCGCGCACATGCATGCAAGCACACATGCACACACATGCAGAGGCTCCCTAATACTGGAAATGTCAATTCACGTTCGACAATACTACTCCGAGAGCTATCTCTCTAAGATATCAGTTAACATGGCAACTTTGCTCCAAGCAATCAATCTCTGCTTTAATTCTTCCTCCTTCACTGATGCCTGTTTCTGTCCACACCACTCTTTCCACATACACAACAGGGAATACATTTCCTATGCATTAATCCCTTTTCTTAAATCAGTTTTCAAGCTCACTTATAAAAAAAATACTTCTCAGGCTGGGGATGTAACTCAGTGGCAGAGCACATGCTTTGCTATATAAAGCTCTGGGATTAATCCCCAGCATCAAAAGAAAAAAAACTTTTAAATAAAAATACCTTCCAGTTTTCAAAACTTACCAACAGCTACAGTATACACTTGTCTATGCGCATGAAAACACATGTATATTCTGATTATTGAAACCCTACTCTAGGTTCGGTGAGTTTAATCACCACCCCCATATTCACAGTCGCATTCAGTGCAGAACAGGCTGAAATAAAGGCTCAGATGCCCCTGACAACTGCCAAAGGCAGCTGTCAACCTCGCTGCTTGCCTGCGTAATAAGGGCTCCATCTCTCCAGAAAGCCTACTTATCTAAAGCTTCCCAAAATGTGGATATAATACCAGCAACACCACTCTTTCGGTTCTAGAACCACAACCCCTTCCTGCCGTGGGGCATTTATATTTTTAAATCAAGGCTCCTCAATCTTGGCATTATTGATAGTTTGGGATGATGAATCTTTGTCCAGGGGTGGGCAAAGAGACTGCACCGTGAACTACAGGATATTTAAGCAGTATTCTAACTTCTATTCATTAAATTCCCTTTCTATTAAGAATCACTGTCTCTAGCCATAGATTTAGTGGGAGTGGGAGGGGGGGGGGCGGGAGGGGAGGAGAACAAATCCTGTTGTGAAAAGTTAAAGCCAGAAGCATGCCATCCACCTTCCCAGCATTATCTGAATCTGTTTACTGGCAAGGGTACTCAATGTGCAGGGTCTCTCCATGCCTCCTATTTTCTATTTGTCCCTCTAGACATTCCTCACCAAAGATTCAAGGGACAAAAGGAAAGAAAACTAGCTGACAGAGAAGATACTTTGTGATTTGAAAGGATCCTAAAGGCTGGGTATTATGCTCAATCAGTTGAGAACATTGTGCTGAAACAGTTCACTGTGTTGTTTCAGGCCTCATCTGGTAGTACTCAGGGCTTATTCCTGGCTCAGGGGTTCATACTCCTGGTGGGCTCAGGGGACCATAGGCAGTGCCAGGGATTAAGCCTCATGCAAAGCAAGCTCTCTACCCACTGTTCTAACTCTCCAGCCCCAACATTCGTTCTTAACTAGAGTTAGAGGTCTCCTGTCTTATCCTTAGTTTAATAACCACATTGCCCAAGAACTGGCTCAATCACTATTCATGATTTCAAAGTTGTAATTCTTTAGCAGTATGTCTTTATCAGCTGACATGTAACATCCCCACCCAAAAGGTAAACTGACTTCATTCTTCTAGGTCCTTGGAAAAGGCCATTTTGGCACATAATGTTAGATTTAGGGGAAGTTACCTGGGGATCTATGGGGCTCCCCTGCCACGCTGGGTATCAAGACATCTGGGGGCAGGAACTGTGGTTGGGAAGGGTAGAACTGGGGGTCAAGGAGAGACACAGGAGGGTCATGAATGACAGGGAGGGAAGAGGAGCTGGAACAACGGTGCCGGGTTTCCAAAGGCTTTTTCCTCGTATTTGATGAGTCCTTATAATGAAACGAGACAAAAAAACATAGAGATGAAGATTAACATAGAGCAGGATATGGCTGGGTAAACACAGTGAGGCAAGCAGGGGGAATATGGAGGGAACCTGGGCACAAACATGCTTTACTTGGGGTAGGGAACCAGTTTACTCAGTAATGCTCCTCTATCCGGCCCTCTAAAAAGCAGTCTCATTGTAAGCTAGGGACACCAACCACAGATTCTCTGACGCTGTCTTCCTGTTACCCTGACCTCCTAACCCTATCACCTGTCTTTTGCAAACTTTGTAATGCTAACAGAATTGAAAAAAAAAACCGAGATAGAAATGTTGTAATAGAAAAGAAATGCTAGGGGATAAAAAAAAACTCATGGAATGATAAAATTCTCTACTTTCTAAATATTGGGAACTAAAATAAATATTCTTAAAAATATTGTCAATAACTCTACACTCCTCAACCTCCCTTCGCTCTACTTCATAAACAATGCCCACTGATACTATGCCCTACTTTATATTTATTCTCCATTAGAGAATACTTTTACTTTTGTGATATTTACTTTTGTGGTAAAGTATCAGATATAGCCCCTTTGATATCTGAAATACTAACATGTCCCAGATCCAAACAATCTCCTTTCAAACCACCCCCCACCCGACCCCACCACCACCACCACCACCCCAGCCTGGCACTACTTTTCTTTAAGTCACCTTAACTCAAATATTGACATTGTCCTTGATTTTCAAGTTCTCATCCATAATTCCATTTTTTGCTTTTGCCAACTACTGTCCTATCGGCTTCACATTTAAACTCAACTTCAGTAAGAGCTTCAATCGGACTTTCCTACCTGTAGCCCACAATCTCTTCACAGTGCTCTTATATAGTTCAAGTGCTACCAACTCTTCACCTTACTGCCTACCATTCCTGTGCCTTTTACATATAACTTTTGGCTTTTCCTTTTCCTTCCCTTTGGGGTCACACACAGTAGTGCTTCAGAGCTTCTCTGGTGGTGCTCATGGAATCATGCAGTGCTGGCAAAGCAAATAAGTGCTGTATCACTATACCTCATCCTAGGCTACAATAATTTTCTTCTTTTTGTGGGGGCAGGGTTTAGCCTATACCCGTCTATGCTCATAGCTTACCCCTGGCTCATGCACTCAGCTATCACTCCTGGAGGGGCTTGGAGGACCAAATGGGGTGCCAGGGATTGAACCTGGGTCAGCTGCATGCAAGGCAAGCACCCTATCTGCTGTATTATCTGTCGGGACTCCAATAACTTTCTTAATATTCCTCAAATACACCAAGTTCCTTCCGCCGAAGTTCCTTCCACCTTTATGCTTACTATTTGTTATCTAGATTGTCCCTCCCATCATCTATACCCTCTTATCATTGAGGACTCTGATCAATTGTTAATTTCTCAACTAATCTCTTTCACTGCTCTATGACAAGCATAAGAATAATCATGGTTACTTCTGTACTCCTGTCCCCATATTTCATTCTTACCATGGTTTGAGTTTATATTCTTTATTTGTTAAATGTCTTTCTCTCTTACATAATACATTTATTTTCATTTTAACATAACCCATACTTTGAATGACACCTGGACTAGGCGAGGCACTTAACAAAGACTAGTAATTTACATGTCAATATGTCCTGTTTCTTTTTCTAGGATACAAGCTGGTGCACTGTGGTGTTTCATTGGTGCATGCTCATCCCACTTACCACAGCATGGCACATTGTCAATACTCACCATGCAGTCTAGGGGAAGGGGCTAGCCCACTAAGTGTAACAAAGAAACTCTTCCTTTCCACTGGAGAGAAGAGAGTGATAGCACACATCCCTGGTTTTCTTTCTGTCTAGGAAAGGCCTAGGTCTCCGATTAAGATCCTTTCGAAATTCAATCAGCCTAATCAATAACTGAATAAATAGCAATATTCCTACATTAAATATTTTTTTTAAAAAATTTAAAAAAATCCTTTCGAAGAAACCACTTTAAATCTTCAGGGATATGTCTTGGTTCCTCTTCTCTTTTTTTTTTTTTTGTTTTGCTTTTTGGGTTACACCTGGCGATACACAGGGGTTACTCCTGGCTCTGCACTCAGGAATTACCCCTGGCAGTGCTCAGGGGACCATACGGAATGCTGGGAATCAAATCTGGGTTGGCTGTGTGTAAGGCAAATGCCCTACCCACTGTGCTATTCCTCCAGCCCTGGTTCCTCTTCCTTTTACTGTATGTTTTTCTGCTCTTCAATACAATTCCCAAACATCAACTTCAAGCTTGGGGCTATGGTTCAGCATAAGAACGCTTGCTTTGTATTTGTGAGGCCGGGTTAGAGTTCCAATAGAACAGAACAAAAAACTGTCCCCTTCAAGCTCTATGACTCAATCTGAAAACCTGATCTCTCATTCTTAAAATATCTAAAACTACACACATATTTTCCCCTCAAGTATATAATTTTTATTATATCTAGCATATATATGTAGATATAATTTCAAAATAAATAATTCTGAGATAGTATCCTGACTCTTATCTACCCATATCCAAGGAGGAAGGCACCCAGTCCCATTGATCCCATTGATTTTTACCTCCAAATTAGTTTTCCAATATGTCTACTTGTTAATATCCTCCCAAATTCTGTAACATGGCTCATGATACCCTTTTTTATATTGTTTCCAGTCTCACATGTAAATACTCTTTTTTTTTTCTTTTTGGGTCACACCTGGCAATGCACAGGGGTTACTCCTGGCTCTGCACTCAGGAATTACTCCCAGCGGTGCTCAGGGGGACCATATGGGATGCTGGGAATCGAACCCGGGTTGGCCATGTGCAAGGCAAACACCTTACCCTCTGTGCTATCGCTCCAGGCCCTCACATGTAAATACTCTTTATTCTCACCTCATTCATACACTATTCCTGCCATCCCAAGTGCACTTCTTTTAGTTCATACCTGCCCTAAGTCCTTACCTGTTATATTATTTTTTATTTTCCCCAGGAACCAGTCTCTGATCCCTCCATCCTAGTTTTTTAGCTGCTCCTTCTGTTACGTTCCCCTAGCATTCAGCTCTATCACACTGCATTATAGCTGTATGTCTCAAAACATCTCCCAGTCTTGTAAAGTCACAACAGAGAGGCTCTGCCTAGTTCAGACATCACTGTACCCACAGCACCTGGCCCAATGGGGACATCAAGGATCAATGAGTCAACTATGAATCCTGAATAAATGAATAAGATAGCCAGATCACCTCTGAAAATAACAATCTATCATGATTGTATTAAAGGCATAAGAACAAATGGTAGACAAAAAAAAACTCCTTTTGCAAAAAAAGAATGGTAAGTGGTTCATTCTACACAATAAATCAGAAAAAGATGACTCTCTTCTGGGACTGAGACTGGATTGAAAGTACAGGTGGGGCTGAAATTTTGCCTACACAGTATGTCCTCATGACTTTTTGGTTTTGGACCATGAATTTTTATTGACTGATTTGATGAAAAGGCTCTAAAGTACTAGTTTCTCGCACCTAACCTCTACTATAATAAAAACTCAACTGGCCTTAGAGAACTGTGTGAAATTCTTTCAAAAAGTAGATTATCAAACTCAGTCACTGAGTTTATCAATCTCTGCTGGCTTGACAGTCCCTTTACACACAGTTTTGTTGTTGTTGTTGTTACAAAAATATTTTATTTTATTTTTTATTTTTATAAAGTTGTTCATGAAAGTTGTTCATGATTACACAGTTTTTTGCTCAAATTTCATATGGGAAGCTTCAAAGCAGAAAATTTTAAATAATTTTCCTTTTCTTACTAGCTTAAAGGTACACTGAACCCCCACTCAAACATATACTGGGGTAGAAAGAAAAAAGGGTAAAATACCCAAAACTACATCCCATCTTGCTTCTGCCATTAATGAATGCAATGGGTTCTGGACCCTATTAGCAGTCTTTGATTCTGATGCTCTTATTAAGGCAACTAAGACTCTTCTCATCTTAGAGAAACTTTTAACATACCTTCCAGACCCTGGCCATTTTCCCAGGGCTCCAACAAATGAGTGTCAATAAAATAATGACTTTTGTCTTCTCTTTTGCTGAGTGTACATGACTTTCCCCCACAACTATAGCTTTTCGTCTCTGCTTGCCCCCTTCATCTACTGTATATTTTTCTCCTGCAAATGTAAAAAGGGTGCTCTGAATACACAGACCTGATCCTACTTACAAAACTGTGGAAAGGACTGAGGTCTTTTCCCTTTCTGAGACAGTGGTGCCACTGAGACCACGGGAGACGTGGCCAAAGCTCTCTGCACAGTATTGATCATCCTCCCCATACTCCCTGCTGGGGCCACGGCAAGGTGCAGCCTTCAAATACACAGATATACACAAGTAGACACATAATACCAGATCTGTGGTTTTCCCACAGACTGTCCCCAGGGATATAAGAGAGCGATATTCACTAGAATTGAGACTCCCCTAAATTAGATGTTTTTGAAGACAATTCCTTTCACTCAAAAGCAATCCAATCCAGACCCTGTTCGCTTCCAACAGCCCACATTTTCAGGTGGCGGCCTTCCCGCCAACCCTATCTCCCCTATTTTCCTACAGTCCCTTGCCCAACACACCGTGTCCAGCACTCTCACATCCGAGGTTGCTACCTGAGAAGCAGGCACTGTGCTGGCTTCATGAAGACTGTGCTCCATTTCAGCTGTCGGGGTCTCTGAGAGACCAAGGCCAGGGGCCGAGTGCAATCTTCTCCCCATACCATCTGCTGAGCCTGAGGGGAAAAACACAAAAGTTCAAGCCATCTCTTCTCCTGGGAGCTAATCCCTGAACCTGGCTACAGAGTCCTTATTTCATTAAATAACTTATATGCATCACTGAATCCAGGGGAGTACGTGTTTCCGGACAATATAAGAGAGTTTCAGAATTACAGACAACTTCCTGTGGGTCAGAAGGATCTAAGAACACTGGCCTTGAAGGGCCTTAAAGAGAAAAAACTCTGCTAACAGATAAATGTCCCCATCTTGCCTCATTTCATTTTTGTGAACATCATCAGCTTAGTTTCTGTTGGACTTAAGACCCATGACTTACAATACATACAGAGGAAATTGTCTGACAAAGTCATGCTCTAGACTGTCTGAGATGACAAAAGGGAACTACTGTCTCCAGTCTAGTTCAGCACTGACATGATCGTAGTAGTCATCTATCAAACCTTCTCATTTTACATAACAAAAAATGGATTCTAGTTTCTGACAGGTAATTAGTAGTCTGACCAATATTAAAACTCATGTCAATTCTCAGCATAATATTCTTTTTATTATCCAACTTGATGATCTTTATTACTATGAACAGAAGCTCTTCAGCAACATTTTACAAGTGTAATACTTAGTTCCACCCATTAGCTTCTCTCAATCAAATTTGAAACAATCACCAAGTATGTAGCTTTCTCCCTAAAATTCTTGCTATAAAGAAAAGAGATTCTCCAAATTGTATGTGACTCCCAAGAGACTTGCCCCAATACAACTAAGTTTCCAGTTTAAAGATACACATATCCTTGACCAACATTGATCTAAATGCCTATCACTCATTCATATCTGGATTCAATATTTTGATCCTAATGCATATATATGGCTAACACATGCTATAACTGATACTAAGCAAAAAAGTTAGCTAATTATAATAGTTTCTGATACTAAATGCAGTAGTTTGAACATCACCCCAGATTCATCTGCGTATTGTAATAAATAGCAACATTACAATATTATAAAGATATCAGAATCTTTCCGGTTGGAACTTGGAATATTTATTTCTAAAATGAATCTGCTAAAAAGTGTGAGGAAATATCCTAAAGGATTATTAGAGGAAATGGAAAATGTTATAGTCTTCCAGATATACAAATCATAAATAAAACCATTAGAGCTGAAAATATATTTATACTTTACCCAATAATTCTATCCTAGGAACAAGAGGCAAAAATACAAATTTATTACGGTACTGTAATAGAAAAAAATTTAGAAATAAAACAAGACACATCTATAACACACTAGCAAAATGCTTTATATCATCAGTATCATTGCCCAGCCACTCAAAAGAATAAACTGAATTAAACTAGATGGGTTGCAGGAATTTTCATAAAACAGTAAAAGGTAAAGGTAAAGGTAAAGGCCCTCCCGTTGATCGTCGATTTGCTCGAGCGGGCCCAGTAACGTCTCCATTGGAGACTTTGTTGTTACTGTGTCTGGCATATCGAATACTCTTGGTAGCTTGCCGGGCTCTCCGAGAGGGGCGGAGGAATCGAACTCGGGTCGGCCATGTTGGCCGCTTGTAAGGCGAACGCCCTACCACTGTGCTATCACTCCAGCCCCATAAAACAGTAAGTTAAAAAAATGTGTAGTATCCCCCACCAAAAAACCACAGTTTACGAAGGCTGACATAGGATTATATGTATAGAAATATACAGAAGTCCATTTAGATTATTACGTAGAAACGTGTGGAATATGGGGCCACAGAGATAGTAAAGTGGGTTAGGCACTTGCCTCGCACTGAGCACTGCCAGGAGTGATGCCTGATCAGTAAGCCCTGAGCACCACTGGGTATGGCCTCAAAACAAAAGAGAGAGACAGAGAGAGAGAGAATTAAAGAAAGAGGAAGGAAGGAAGGAAGGAAGGAAGGAAGGAAGGAAGGAAGGAAGGAAGGAAAGATGTGTGGGATAAAAGGTAAGACTAATGTAAAAGGATGAGAGGTAAGAAAAATTTATGATAAAAACACCATGTGTTATGATCCCACTTAAGTGACAGTAAGGTCTGGATTTTGCTGGTAAATAATCCAGTGGGAAAGGAAAAAGGTGGGGGTGGAATAATTAAATGGAAATTGTCCATATACTGATAACTGGCCAAATAATCACCATGGAAACTTGTAATAAGTACAGAGGGGAATTATTATAACATTTATTCTTATTTTTCACTCTGACTACATTTCAAATTTTCTATGACAAAAGGCTATTTCTTACTTTGTGTTTGTTTGGTTTGGGGGCCACAGCTGGTGGTGTGGATTCGGGGATTCCTGACTCAGGGATACTCCCAGTGGTGCCTGAGGAACTTGTGGCGCCAGGGATTCAACCCAGGGCTTCAGAATGCAAAATATGCACTCCATTTCTTTGAACCATCTCTCTAGTACACTTTTTTTTTAACTGGGACAAAAGCACAACTTCATTTTTCACAAAAAATTACACTGAAAGCAATATAATATCCAGCATTTAAAATTCACAGAAACATTTAATAGGCAACTGAAGATTTTCCATTTACTGAAAAGCACATTTTTAGTTCTATAACCTTTGTTTCTAAACATATAGAACCTACAATTCTAAGTTAAAATTATTGTGGTAGTTAATAATATAACATTTAAAAAAAAACATTGGTTGAAGCTAGCAATAAAGTCTTAATAACGGGTACCTCCCTATAAGTAACTATATAGAAATACTGTTCACTTATCTCAGATAATTACAGACATAGCACATAGATTTGAGCTCTGCACATATATATAACATCAATAAAATATCAGAATTTTATGCTTTTCAGAGACTTAATAAGGAAATATACTTAGTATCAAGAAAGTTTCATTTTTATTTTTATAAAAGCTGAATAATATAACCTAACCCTTCAGGATGCATGGTGGCAGAGGACCTGGGCTGTCCCTCCTCGGGTCCCCGCCCACCCAACAGACTGGCTGTCACACCCACAATGTGCCTCCATGTCCCATCTCAGTGCACCAACAGCCCTGGCCTAGAGACTCCCAGTTGAATGCCAAAATGGATTAGAGATTAGAGATGTCTCTGGAACCCAAACATTTACAATCTAGAAATTTACATTTACAATCGCAGCCGTGTGAGCTCTCGTGATACTCAAGATGAGCAATGGAAAATAAATGATCCAGCGTCTGCCCCTGGCAGGTAGGCTTGAATGGTGGTGGGAAGTTTCGAGCAAAAGACAACGCCCAGAATTAGAGAGAGAGTATTGGGGAAACTGCCTACCACAGAGGCAGGGTGAAGACGGGGATGTGGGTGGTGGAGAATGTGCACTGGTGGAGGGATGGGTGTTCCATCATTGCATGGCTGAATCTCAAACATGAAAGCTTTATTACTCTATCTCACGGTAACACAATTTAAAAAGAAAAGTAATGTGGAGTTCATCTCTAGTACCCATTTCTTACTTATAAAAATATGCCCTATCCAACTGCCAGAATACTGTGCAATTTAGAATATAGGTCAAAGGCTGTATTTATATAACTTTGCTTTATTTCTTGAGCGACACCTGGCAGTGCTCAGTGCTTACTCCTAGCTCTGCTTTCACTCTCCCAGGGTTTCTTTTTGGGGTGATAAAAACACTTCAAGGGGGCCGGAGTGATTGTACAGCAGGTATATGGTACCTCACGCCTTGCATGTGGCTAATATGGGTTCAAACCCCCGCAACCAGAATCATCCCTGAGTGCAGAATCAAGAGTAAGCCCTGAACAATGCCAGGTGTGGCCCAAACCTCTGCCCACCTGAGCATCAGCTAAAAAAGAAAAAAGAAATATATGGACCAGAGTAATAGTACAGTACGTAGGGTGTTTGCCTGGCACGCAACTGACCCAGTAGATTCCCGGCACCTCTTATGGTTCCCCTGAGACAGCCAGGAGTGATTCCCTGGGCAAAGAGCCAGGAATAAACATCACTGGGTATGGCCCAAAATCAAAAAACGAAAGAGAGAAAGAAAGAGTGAAAGAAAGAGAGAAAGAAAGAAAGAAAGAAAGAAAGAATAGTCAATCATAAATATTAGAATATTCATCACAGTATAAATTTCTCCAAGTTCAAATGCACAGAACCATATCTATAATTTTAAGAGCTCTAAGATACTTAAAAAAATCATTGAACAAATTCATGTTACAGGTAAAAACCCTGGGATAGTAAGTGACATCAAATTATATAGATAATTAATGAAGGAGCAAAGGGTTCAGGCTTTGGGATTGTTAAGGTACACCTAAATTAGAAATATTCTTCACATCTACATGAAGATGTGCATTGAAAGCAGAAACGTGACTCTTCACATGGTTTAACTAAAACAGGGATCCAACAGGCAAGTGACCTTGAAATTTCTAGACCTGGCAAAATATTGTAGGTCCAGCATGATCTAGAAATGCCATATTGGAGACCTGACTCAATGTGGACATCCTCATTCCAAGCTGGATGGGGAGGCTGCATGTTGGGGTCTGTACTGCTAAGCTGCAAGAAAGACTTCCACCTCATGCTGAGTCCATCTCAAAGCCCTAGGAACTCTTTCTCCGGGGTTTTGGTTTTGGTTTTTGGGCCACACCAGTGGTCTCAGGGGTTATTCCTGGCTCTGTACTCGGGTATTACTCCTGGGAGTACTTGGGGGACAATGTGGGATGCTGGGGATCAAATCGGTATCTTCTCTGGCCCCTTCTTTGTTCTTCCTTTCCTTTTCTTTTTTTGTTTTTGTTTTGGGGCTGTGCTCAGGATTTTTTGCTGGGGATTAAACCCTGGGTTGGCTGCATGCAAGGCAAATGCCATACTCCAAGAACTATTTCAGCAGTACATATGGAAGGAGCCCTGGGTATTGACCAATTTGGTCTCTTTCTCTAGAAGGAGGAAAACATGCTGAGTGATGTGCTGAGTAATGATTCTGTTCCCATTCTCCACTCTAGCTAGAAAATTATCTAGTCTCTGTTCCAAAGTCTTTATGAACAATGTCTGTCCTACTACCTCTCTTAAACTAGAGATATTATTTGGATAGAATATCCTCCCTCCGTAACCCCAACCCACATAAACACTTCGATCTTGTCCTTCCGCTTTCAGCTTTTACATATCCCTGTGCCCTGGCCAGGTTGTATTCTTACCTGTTTGGCTAAGTGGGTCACCAGTCACATCCTGCTGCCCCCATCCAGAACAGCCAGCTTGAGAGACCTGAAGACTGGCCTGGTAGAGAGACTCCAATTCTGACATCTCCTGTTCTGTGTCTTGGTTCCAATGTGGATGCAAAAGGATGTGGTTTCTTTCTGGATAGGCCACACAGGGATGAGGATCGTATGGAGAGGGCTTCACTCCTGGCCCAGGGACCCCATGTTTAAACTGAGAATCACAGAGTCTTGTGGCATTCACCCAGGAATCCAAAGGCAAGGAACTCCCCAAGTTGACACTGCTGCCCAGTTCCTTAGGGCTAGCAGCTCTCACTGGGGCCAGCTTCCGCTGATACCCAGCTGGCTCTGTCAGCCTGGGCTGCCCTCCCCTAGGAGTGTCCCCATTAGGCAGCACAGAGGTCAGAGCAGCAGAGTGACTTCCAGGCTCTTCCCTGGCAGACAGTCTGTCCCTGCCCGCCTGAGAGGGTTGCTGTATTGCCCAAAGCCAGTGGCCTTTCCCTTGATCCCGTGAGAACGGAGGCTTGGAGTCAGGAGGGGAAGAGTTCTTTCTGAGACTATTTGGCAAACTTCTATCCTGGGAACCTGTCCCAGCCCTTGTGGAGGCACCTTGCATTCCCTGGAACCGTTCTGCCAAAGAACGGACGAGTCCCTTTGTGCCGGCAAACTCTGGCCGATAGGGCTCCTCGCTACCTCTGTCCAATGTGGAAGGCAACGAAGCTTTGAGGCTTTTGGCTTGGAGACATTGGTTAGTTTTCTGCACATCATCGGGAGAGTGAAGCGCAACTGAGGAAGCATCCGACGTGACGGGACGGTAGGCCCTGTGGAGGGGAAGGCTGGGCTGAGCGGACGGGCTGGAAGGACGGCAGGCTGGGTTCTGTGTGTCTCCCCTCTCACAGGGGGCTCTTCCAGCTGCGTGGGAACAAACCATAGCCTGGGATGAGTCAGCAGGATCCCTCCTGTCTTGGAATAGCTGTTCTTTCGAAATGCCTCTTCCTTCTTGAGAGGGAAATCTACTACAGGTGCCACTGTCTCCTCTGTGGCCACGCAGCTGACCCTCGGGTGTATCCGATGTTTCCCAGTCATAGCCTGAATTCTTCTCAGCCCTACCCGGCATTCCAGGCAAGCAATGCCCACGGTGCGCGGAGGGGTCACTGCTGGCCACCTCAACTGAAGTCAGCAGGTTTGAGGCAGACCTGGCGGGGGAACTGCGCAGTGGGACAGACAGGGAAGATGACTCTCGGAATAGCGATGAATGTGATTCATGGCAGGAAGCAGGTGAACGGACGAAAGAACTGGCCCCAAATTCTGTATTCGTGGAGGGTTCCAACTGGGCCTCCTTGTTTAACAATACTTGGAGCGGGACATGCTGTTCACTGAAACAATGGAGAAAGCCAGTCATGAACTGCCCTGATTGACAAGCTCACTTACGAAAGGAACTATTCATTCAGTTCCCATTTCTACCTACTCACAGAAGAAAGGGTGGAAATGAATGGAAAGACAAGCATCGGAAAGCCAATAGTGCGAACGTTCAAGAAAGAGAAGGCACATGACCAGCAGATACACAGGTTAAAAAGTAGTATTAATCCTCTTTACTGAATGCCCTCAAAAAACTGGATTATCAAGTGAAACTGGCATTCTTTGCTACTCAAGAAGTAGCAATCATATTCATATTCTGGTTGAAAATTAAAAAAATGGAAATTGCTAATTTCACATGCAGATGACATGGAAGCAAAGTCTACAAACTACTCATACCACCAGCAAAAATACAGGATACTAAAATACAGAGGGAAATCCTACCTGGAGTCCAGAGGCCTCCCAGTGAAAAGGACCAAAAGGTTACACTTACAGAATAAAAAGTGTTTGAGTTTCTGGGATTCTATAGCATTCAACCATTTCCAATGTGTTTTCATAATCTACATTGGTTGTATAACTCACTGATATGTTCCCCCAAAGTAATATAGTGTGGCTCTCCTGAGATTTGGAAGTGAGAACAGCAATTAGTTAATTGCATTTAGTTATTTTCTCACTAATTGTTTTGTATTCCTCTGCTAAAATGCTATTTCAGAAGCAATTAAATAAAATCTCAATCATATATATCAAATAGCATAAATTTTCTGAAAAGTTTTAGCACCTAAAATTCCTATATTCATCTATTTTAGTGAATAAAGTAACTTATTCAGGGAGGACACTAATTCTAAGAAGAACATGGGATACTCCAGTGAGATAATAGAAATAAAAGAAAGATCAAACAGTGAAGGAAATCTATACCCCAAAGGAAGATGACAACAGTCCCAAGATGGAGTGCTACGAAAGAAAGGTGAATTGTGTACCCAGAATTGGAATGTGGGTGGCCCCAGGGTTACCTATATTTAAAATATATGATTAGATTTCCGAATTGGCATTTAAGTAGAATAGACAGTCGGGGAAAAAGAAAACGGAAGAGCCTGGCTATGAACATTGAATTTGAACGTGACAGCTGTGGGAGTCACCAGGCATTCTGACAATATTATATAATCAGCCCAATATTATAATTACATATTAAATTCCAACAGTGCCAAACAGACCCGGACTTGAATTCCAAACTTCAGTCACTCACTGGCTGAGGAATCCGGAGCACCTTACTTATCCCCTTGGAGCTTGTTCCCTTTCTATAAATACTAAATTGTCTCTAACTCATAAGATTAATATGAGAATAAAATGAAATAAGATAGAAAATGATTAATGTCTGAGCACAGACAAATGTTCAAAACATGTTGCTTGCTTTTAATATTTATATTCTGAAAGTTATTCAGACTTCAGCCAAAATCAGCTTGTACCTACATCAATCTAGTCCTGTAACAGTCAAATTAGAGGACTAAGCTGTGGAGACGTGGGGGCTCATGAGCCAAGCACATAACCTACATGCAGGAGATCACAGCACAACATGTGGTCTGAGCACTGCTGGGAGCAACGCCTAAGCACTGAACCGGGCGCAGCCCCTAAGCACAGCTGGGTGTGACCCCAAAACCAAAAGGAAAAAAAATGAAATGAAAAATAAAACGTGGGACCTAAAACTAACGAACAATGTCACTGTTTCCTAGTCCTGGTGATAGGAAAGGGGGAAAATAAATAAGTAAATAAAGTGAAATTTCAGGGCCCATGAATAAGTTGCTTGCTTTGCATACAACCTGGAACCTGGGTTTGACCCCTGGCATCGCAAGGGTCCTCGGAGCCCGGCTGTGAGCAGAGTCAGGAATATGCCCTGAACACTGCCAGTGTGACCCCAAAGCAAAAACCGAAACCAGGAAAGGACAAGTGAAACACGTGTCTCTTCCTGGTGGTTGGGTCGGAGAGCCGGCACTGGGCCGGCGGTGCTCCCAGGCGCGATGGGAAGCCGGGAGGCCACAGCGCCACGGCTGTCTCCTGTCTCCCGCCCCGTCCACCCAGGGCCCTTCCGGGGCTGAGCTCAGGCCCTTCCCGCTACGCCAGGAGAGTCTTCCTCGCCGAGGGGGAGGCTAAACCGCGAGCACGGCTTCCTCCCTCGGCAAGCATCATCTGCAGTGTTCCCGGGCACTACCTGGTCGGGTGAGGAAGGGCGCCCCCCTGTGCAGGGAGGCAGGCTGAGGGCTGCGGCGGCTGCTGGGATGCTGGGTGCTGCTGCATGCGCTCCTGCAGGCTCCGTGCTTTTCGAATACTGATTTGCAACTTCTTATCGACTAGCGCTCTGCTGTGCGTGCTAGAGCTGGCACCATGCAGGGCAAGTCTTAGTTTAGCTACAATGCAAAAGAAAATATAGCAGAAACAGAACACAAAATACAAACCAAAACAATAAATAAATAAATAAAACTGAACCAAAAATAAGCAAAGATATGCAGTAAAACTCAAATATGCAGCAAGAATGCAAGGCATGGACCATGCATATGCTGTCCAGGGCACGGGGCTGGCTCTGGCTCTAAGGAACATTCATGGAAGCCATGGAGACCGAACAGATTAATTTAAATTCAAACAAACAAACAAACAAACAAAAGCTTAACTAAAATGAATCAGGAAGGTACACTACTGCTTCCATTTGAGAGGCTGCCACCCTTGTCCTCTGCAACTGGCCTGTCTGTATTAGGTCTCCAGAGATTGGTCCCACCTCTCCCTTCCCCAGGAGCAACAGCAGATGTGATCCAAACCTTTAACTGTCTAAACAACAAAGCTTCGTGGGGGTTACATTTAAGGATCAGATATGAAATCTAAGCCTTAATCCCTAGGCATAACCTTTTGGTACTGTAAAACTGTAAGGCAAGGGAAAAACATAAAAAAAATCAAATGTGCAATGCAAAATTAGAAACCTGGAGTCACAGCCAATTTGACTATTTTTTGGGGGGTGGGGGTGTCATAAACTCAGCCTCACTTTTGAGTGAACAGAGAAAGAGAAAACAAACCTAACATCTGAGGTCTAACTGTCTTGGAATAAGAAGGTCCGCATGGCTGGATTAATTCATCCGTAGTTTCCTGCTGAGATTGTTCCAGAAAACATCTTTAGGCCAGAACAGTGCCTAGCACACTTAGAAATCTGAAGAAAAAAGATAGCTAACAGGTCTCAAATGGATGACTGGAAGTGAGGAGACACAAGGGCTGTTTTTATCCCATTGGGGTGACTATGCTAATGACATCTATTGTGAAGTTAGTCAAAGTGCCAGAGCCATAGCGGTTAGAGTTACTTACAGATAGCTTCATTACAGAGAGCCAAAGCTGCAGCACATTCGCCCTTCTGTTCCAGATGTAGTGACTCTTCAAACACTGAATCTGCCTCTTGCAGGGACCTCTCAAAGCCGTCACTCCTCCCTGAAAGGGCCAGTACTTTTCGTTTTCATTACAGTCCATCCAACTTTCCATATGTACTGCTGTTTCCCTTCAGTATGCACCGATCCTCGCTTAGTCTCTAACCTAACCTTACTACAACTATCCATTTGCTATGAAAAACTCTCTGAAACATGTAAGAGAACCAAATGTGCTGTAACTGAGACCTTACCAAAGTCATAAATAAGAGGAATGTCACTGATGCCCACATACTCCAACTATAAGGATTTCCCCAGTAAAGAACTGTAAGATAAAATTGGTTTGTCCTTTCTGCCTTGCAACAGGGAGCTTATAGTAACCCAATAAACATTGGGTTACTCTCATCACAGTGCTCCCACTCCTCTGTGTTTATCTGTAACCTCTTTCTTTGTGCGCTGCTTCCCCAACTGGTCAATTGCCTCTATCTCCTAATCAGACTCTGTTAACTTATACATATTGTTTTTCTCTTCTCCTTAAGTCCTTTGCATAGTTAATTCAGAGCAACGTCCTTTCTGTACAGACACAGAAGACAGTTAATGCTATGCTTTTGTAACTTGGGAGTTAACTGACTCCGAATGATAGTCACTCCTGAGCATCTGTTCTCTCGACTTAAGCCTCAGTTGCCCTTACTTCCTAGATTCCCAATAGCAAGGTCCTGTTGAGGGACTGGATGGACCCAGAGAAAGCTGTGAGCTACCCTGGCATCGAAATGGGCCGGGCCAAAGCACCATAATACCCAACCATAAGTTAAGAGCATAGTCATGGACAAAATCTGTTATGATTCAAAAAGTAACAACTAGATTAGGATCCTGCTAGGGTTAGGAAAGATTAATCTGGCCTAAGCACTGTAGCGTGAGATCTATAGTGAGATGTCCCCAGGAGAGCCACCCTACAAGCTTAATGTATCTCTTACTGTGTCCATACAAAATAACTAATATTTAGAAGTAGAATTAAGATGTTAATTATGTTATTGGACAAAGGAAAGGAGAAAAACCCTAGGTGGTATTTCGCTCTTGAGCCTGATCAGCGATCAGGAAGGGTTTTGATGTTGACTGTGCTACCCTCAATGCGGGGCAGTCGGTGAAAGATTAGAGAGAGGCCAAGGCAGAGAGTGGGAGCGTAGAGAGAGGAGCAAGGGAGACAGGAGGAGATAGGAATGAGGGGCAGTGTGAGACTAGAACGAGGGGCTTAGTGAGACTGGAACAGGCGCGTGGGGAGAATGGAATAATTGGCAACTGATCACAGCCTGGCCCTCGTTTCCTCCTTCATCCGTGCATGGTATTGGCGATCCCAGGAGGGGAAGTGACTCTGAGAACACCAAAGAGAGAGAGAGAGAGAGGAGTGAGAGGAGAGAGAAGAGAGGAGGGAGAGAGAGAAGAGGAGAGGGGAGGGGAGGGGAGGGGAGAGAATGCCACGGGGCTTTCCTAGTCGATCTGTGTTTTGTGATTACACAAAGAACAAAGTGTTATCTATAGCAGAGGGGGGTGTTTTGTGCTTGGAATTGGTCTGTTCAATGTGTAGCAAGATACATCTTGCCAGACTATGCCAGAATGACCCTCCAGATCCCTACCAAGGCCTTCACTCCTATTTTAAGACAAAAGTGCCTTCACTATTCCATGAAAGCCATCTAGATCTCTTCCTTCACTCACCTATTTACAATGTTCTCTGCACCACCCTCAAATGAAAACTCAGTAAACCTCTCAAGAACTGGAGCTCTCAAGTTCCTGACTTCAGTGTTGCTACCTGGGCAGCTGAACAACGTGCATTACTGGTTTGCACATCTCCGTCATCAGATATCATGGCTACGTGAATGTCCCTGCAGTTAGGACGTTGTCCTGTCAGAATTCTGTTCAAAATGACATAGTCATGTCCCTGCTCCTGAAACTATACCAAAAGTGCCATTTCCCATACTCTGGGAGTATATTTGTCCCTCCCCTGAAATGTATGCCAAGGTAGAGACTGAGTCCAGTACAGTGCATAAAAAAATGAGAAAAAGTATCAAAAGGCAACTTTTGTAAAAGAATTCTTAACTTTATAAACCCCCTTCTTCAACTTTATAAACTCACTAAAAAAACAAAAGTTGTAAGTTACTTACAACTGGGGTTAATAAAGAGTTTTCATAAGCTCACATGGGGAAAAAAAAATCAAGGTGTCAGCCATCTCCCCCACAGTGTCTTCTTCTTCCACTGACTTCTGTCTCGCTATACTGAGAAAGATTCTTTCACATCCCTGTGCAAGAACCTTTCCACTCCCCTACTTCAGCATTGCTTTTGGAGAGCGATGGAAAGAAAATGAAGTCACAGATTGGTTCTGAAAAATTCAGTATTCAGGTTTTCAGAACCAAGCTATGAACCTCACTTCCAGAAATGTGTTCTCCCCCAAATTTCCAGGCTTAACATTTTCTCATAATAGTGGAGTCAACTAAATCAGTATAACCTTTAACCATCAGAAGTGTGGCTAGAGCAATTGAAAAAAAAGTTCTCAACAAAGATAAACTAAGATGGTCAATCACTGCTTGGGTTTTAATTATTATTCTCTAAAATCTTAGTAGTATATTAAGTGCTTTTCTTGATCTTTGGTTGAAAGATTTCAACCAAAGAGATTTCAACCAAAGGGGGAATCTATGTTTCATTGCCAATTCTGCAAACCCTTTGAGTTTTCAGCCAAAGAGTCTGCAGAACTGGCAATAAAACATAGATTCCCCCTCTCAAGTTTAATTTACTGTTCAACAGTCAGAGAAGGGAAGAAGAGCCCTCTTTCAGAAGTAATACAAAACTGAGACACCAATGTGATACAACTCAGGAGCAAACAGGGAAAAGGAGACTGGTGACAGCGATGCAGCTCCAAGGCAGAGCTCTTGTTTTGCATGTGTGTGGCTCTGGGTTTCTTCCCCAAAAACTAAAGGTATGTATGTGTGGTAGGAGGGGGCGGGGGGATAAATTCAAATACACAGAGAAGCAGGAATTGCAAACAAACATAATGATTTGAGGTATATGAGGCAAAAATTACCTTAAATTAAAAACACACAATTAAAAAAATAAATAAATAAATAAATAAATAAAAAACACACAATTAGAGGAGAAAAATGGCCCCCACCCCATGGGACTACTTAACCCAGGAAGATTCTCTACATGTTGATTAAAGAGAGGAAGCTCGTCAACAGAATGCCACCCAAACTGCACTGCCATCCTTCATACTGCTTTAGCTCAATTTATCACAACTGATTCTGAATTTTAAGAATAATGAATCAGTTTGTAGAATTTCTAAAAATTGAGATTTAGGTTTTAGGTCCTATTTGAGCTTGGTATCTTGACCCTTTACCCAGCATCTGAGGTAAGCAGGGCAAGCACTAAAGCTGAGTTACTTCCCCAGCCAACTCCTATTTTAAGGTCAGGAAAGTAACATCATAAAGCAACTGAAGAAAACAAAGCGATGAATGTGGGGCAGTTGGAGAGGTTTCAATGAAGTTCATAAGAAGCTTGTCACTGTCACTGTCACTGTCCTCCCGTTGTTCATCAATTTGCTCAAGCAGGCCCAGTAACGTCTCCATTGTGAGACTTGTTGTTATTATGTTTTGGCATATCGAGTAAGTCATGGGGAGCTTGCCAGGCTTTGTCATGCAGGCAAGATCCTCTCAGTAGCTTGCTGAGTTCTCCAAGAGGGACAAAGTAATCGAACCTGGGTCCTCTGGGTCGGCCGCATGCAAGGCAAACGCCCTACCACCGTGCTATCACTCCAGCCCCATAAGAAGCCTATGAGACTGAAAATGAATTCTCAGAGAATCAAAAGTTAATCAGACTGTGTGTTCTTAAAACCTGCGTGGTAAGTCTACCTCCCTGAAGCTCCCTGCAGGAAATCTCAAAAGTATGTTCCTGTCCAGCAAGTAAAATTCTCTTCACTGTGATCCTCACTTGGCCCCTTTTGTACTATTTCTGAATTGTGACCAGTTTTATTTACATCTCCTAGAGCCAGTCCAAAAATGCTTCTCAAAAATGCTTCATGGGAAGCATTTTTCATGAACAGTGCATTATAGCTAACTTATAGACTTTTAATAGATGAGCCCAAATCAGTGCCTATCTCCAGTCACATGTCTTGTCATCTCTGACTTTAGCTTTCACTGAAAAGGATAAATTAAGACAAAACATAACATTGCTAAAAGAAGACATGAGATCTACAAGCTTTAGTATGTTTTCCTGAATATTGCTCTCTTTCTCCCCGTCACCCATAATTACCCTGATTCTGAAGTTCATCCAAGTCCATGAAGCGACTGGGATGAGGGTTAAACCCTTTAGCTGCCTCTAATTCTTTCTCCCGTTTCCTTCTAAGTTCCTGCTCCTGGGCCCTCCTGGCCACTTCTTCCTGCAATTCATCCAGTTCACTTTTGGCAGCCACCTCTCCACCTGGAATACAACGAAGAGAAATTGTCACATTTCCATAACTGAGGCAAGGAGAACTTATGAACACTGTACTATTTTTCTTTTGAAATTCTTGGTTTCAATTTGGAGTTCATTTTTTGGACGGTGCTTTTCATATCAGATTTTAAAGCAATAAACTACAATAAACTATAATAAAAACAGTAACAACAATGAATAAATTTAATAAGTACTTATAACAATTATGATAACAATTAATACTTATTGAGCATTATACATTTTAATGCTTTGCAACAATTTTAAGCATATATATGTGTGTATATATATATGCATACATATATACATATACAATCTATAAGGTAGCTGTGATCCACATAAAACTTATGTCACAAAAAGGATCAATACCCTGCCCATGGCAACACAGAAGGCAAATGGTGAAAGTAAACTAAAGTTAATATGCTACATTCCTATTAGAGAGTATTCTCTGCCATGCAGGGGCTGGAGCAATAGCACAGCGGGTAGGGCGTTTGCCTTGCATGTGACCAATATGGCCGACCCAAGTTCGATTCCTCCACCCCTCTCAGAGAGCCCAGCAAGCGACCCGTGATGTATTCGATATGCCAAACACAGTAACAAGTCTCACAATGTTACTGGGCCCGCCTGAGCAAATCTCTGCCATGTGATGTCATTTATTCCTTGGGACACTTCAAGCAAGTTACTTTAACTGAGATTCTCATGCACACCCATGAAAACTTCTCAGCATCACACCTATCAGCAGTATACCCAGCCCCTCTCCACCAAGGACCCCAATAACCCTCCCTTCCAACACTCTAGCTAACTCGATTGTGTGAATCAGTTCTCCTATTGCTTTTCGGGTGGTCGGGGGAGGGATGGACCATACCCAGCGGTGCTCAGGGCTTACTCCTAACTCTGTTCAGGGATCACTCAAATTTGTTACATCAAATTTCAGTGCTTAATAAGTGAAGAATTTATCCTGAACCATTAGAATTGGGTCTCTAACTAAGTGGAATAGACACCATAAGTTTATGAGTGTATTATGAATGGAATGTAAAAAGGAGCCAAACACCGTCACAACCTGAGATCTTTACTCTCGGTGCCTCATAAATAAAGTTCCAATCTTTATCTTCTTCAAGTTTTAACTTATTAAATCACTAGTTTCTCTGAGAGAAAGCCTGCTTTAAACTATGTTTTTGTTTTGTTCTGTTTTGGATTTGGCAATGCTCAGGAACCATTTCCTGGTGCCTGGGGACCACGCAGTGCCAGAGACCTAAGCCAGGGCTCTTTCATGCAAAACATGTGCTCCAGCACATCGAGCTATATTCCTGGCTCACTTTAAACTATTTTAAAATCATTTACATTTAGTATGAAGGAGTCAGATCATTTGTTGGAGAGCTTGTTTTGAGAGAATGAAGTATAAGGACGCAAGGCATACAGAGAGCAGAGAGGTTAAGGTTCTTGCCTTGCACGTTGCCTACCCTGGCTCCATCCCTGGCACCCTGTATGCTTCCCTGAGCACTGCCAGGAGTAAGCTCTGAGCACAGTATAAGTAGTGATCCCTGAGCATCATCAGGTGTTGCCCACCCACACCTCCATAAAATTGAATTGTATTTAAAATGAAGAGAAAACAAGTACTGCACAGGCCACAGGAAAAAACTAAGGGTAGATTTAATAAGCAATTTCTCGGTTTTGCCTATTTGTTCCTCTTTGTTGTCTCAGTTCATAGTAATTGAAACAATCAGAATCTAGTCCCACGAGTCAATTTCCATGCCAAGGAATGTCGTAAAACTTATTCTTCTACAGGAGTAAGTGCTACTGACCCGGTTCACTATATATCTGTTCCTTCTCGCTCCCACAGGGCTCTCTCCAGGGTAGAAACAATCAGGCAAGCCATGATTTAAATAAAGAAAGAAAAGAAAAAGGAAAAGGTAGAAAAATCCAAAGACAAACTAGTTCCAATGCTTCCAAATTTATAATCCACTGGAATACTCAAGGTGGGCAACAGTCATCTAAATCCAAATGTACTCAAAAAAGAGTGTTTCCCAAATAAAACTGGCAGATAAGTTCACTACACCAAAACAGAGTTGTCCTGCTTACCTGAGAGGGGTTGATTCTTTGTCCAGCCACTCCTGGATGCTGTGGGGTCCACCTCTAGGGCACTACTGCTGTGAGACTTTGGGATGTGGCGCCAGGAAGGTGCCAACCCAGCTAACCTCTTAGCACTCAGGTCCCTTCAAAGGAAAAACTAGAGTCTAGTGAAAGCATCAGAAGAGGCTTAACTCTAAACATTACAGGATTAATTCCCTCAAAAACAAAAACGGTAAAGCATCAAACTAGTAAAATCAAACTGGTATAAGCATGTATTAAAATGTTTCCGAAAAACTGAAATATCCACTAATTCCCCGCATCTCCTCTCACCTCATTCATATCTTGTGCATCTAGCAAAGTCTCTGGCACAAAGCTCGTTGAACCAGTTAATGAGTTAATGAGCATATAGTTTTGTATGTTGCCTTCCTCTCTTTTATAACACTATAGCATTACCTTATTTGTAAGACTGTGGCCAGTTGGGAAGGGAGAGAAAGTATGAGGATGTGGTTATCACCCTTGGAGAAGATATAATTATTCCTTTCAAAGCAGCACTATTATTAGGACCTTGACTCTGACAATTCAGTAAAAATAATGTCTGAGATCTAAAACGTATAAAGTAACATGGGCACTATGAATAGGTTGCAATGAGTCCTATTAAACTGTCATTGCAGTTCTTTTTTCCCACGGCAGGGATCAAACCAAAGGCCTCAGATGTGCAAGGCAACTGCTCATTCGCTAAACCACACTCTCAACCTGTTATCTTATGGGATGTATGGTTATCGGTGGCTTCATAAATCCAAGAATTCCTGGTAACCCTAAAGGACAAGGAAAAGGATGCGGAGGAGAAGGAAAAGAACCACCTATCCTACAGTGAAAGATAAGAACAAATAACAAATGTGTTTTCTCTCAGATAATAATAATTTATAAGCTTTAGTTCACTGATAAATTCTTTTTCTTTCATTAAATCATTTACAGGGGTTTGGGTGATAGAACAGTGGGTAGGGCACTTGTGTTGCAGGCAGCTGACCTGGCTGATCCCCAGCATCCTATATGCCTCCCTACCCCCCCCACACACCCCCCCCCCCCGCCCCCAGCACTGCCAGGAGTGATTCCTGAGCACAGAGCCAGGCAGAAGCCCTGAGCATCACAGGGTGGGGCCCCCAAACAAACGAACAAGTCCGTACAAAACAATTACTTTGTAATTCCCTTCTTGCCCTTTTGCCCAGCAGAGGGTGCTGTTGTCCTGAAAGTCACTAGCACACAGGCTGGCCTGCAGGGTGGTCAGGGCCCCATCTCTCCCAAGTTCCGAGCACTGGCTCAGCGTGCTGCAGGGGACAGGGACGCTACTCAAAAGCAAACAATACCTGCTGGCACTCGCGCTCTCCGTCAGGGCGACGTCCAGGCTGACAGGGCTGCTGCTGTTCCTCTCGCTGCTCTCATAGCCCGACTCCATCCGCTGGATGAGGCGAGGCTGCTGCTCTAACAGGTGAGCACCTGGCCGCGCAGTGCCCGCGGGCTTCCACGGAGGGCTGGGTCCACCAGTTTTAACCTCATAAGCAGGTGGCTTGCTCAGTTCATCTGGTGTAAATTCCTTAGCTATCCCGGTCCAAAGCCAAGCATGGAAAAGGAGGTAGATTAGCCTCTGCCTCGAATTAAGGTCTAAGCCCCCTCTGCTATTACTTCTTCAGTGAATGTATATCCCCAACAGCTCAGCACTACGGTAAAAACATACTTGGCCAAGTCTATGAGACAATCCAGACTTTTAAAATACTCAAGTTTGTTTTACTCCTAAACTCACCTGAATCCTCAGAAAAGGGACTGAGTTGGGTGTAGCCACAATGCTTCCTTTTGTCCTTACTAAAGATACTGTCAATATTCAGAGATTCCCTCTTGGGTCTCCATGTTGGGCGATACTTGCTGGAAGAACTGGATTTTGACTCACTGCTGGTGCTCTCTCCTTCCCAGTCACGAGAGTATAAAGGCAAGTTCTTCAGGTTCTTGTCAGTCTGGTGTCCTCCCTTCCCTGCAAAGGGAGAGCCCGCGCTGGTCTGCGAGGCCAGGGATGGTCTGTTATGGATCATGTTGCTGACCGTCTCTTTAAAGTCCCTCAGCCTGTTGGTGCTGCCCGATGACTTTGAGGCGTTCCTAGGAGCCTGCTTCTCTTTCAGTGTTTCTCCTGAAAAACATAATAAAATGCAAAGAAGGAAACAATGGTCAGTGTTTAATTACAGATGCCCAGATGCCCAGATCCCAAAGTGGAGAGGAAGCATGGCCACCCCACTGGGCCATGGGCAAGTCCCGGTGTGAGCGAGACTGAGGGCAAGCAGCGCGGCAGAATGGCTTGCCTTCACTGTGGTACCCGGAGGCTCGCGACTCATCCACCTTCCTCCTCGCTCGGCCAGAGCTCCTCTTGCGTTCCAGCAGTGACCCTGTCTTGGACGTGAGTTTCTGATTGCATTCGCTGTCAGTCAGATGTCCTGGAAGCACAGGGGACAGGGATGAGCTGGGACCTGACACTGACCCCATTGTCTTGGGACTCCCAGCAGCGCCCCGCCCATACATCCAAGTATCAGAAGCTAGAAGAACCAAGACTATCTGAAGTAGAGTGGTAGTAACTACAAATAAATGCAATCTAAAGTATTTCATGGGAACTTCCAAGGCTATAAAGTCTTCTGAGATTTTTGGGGGGAGGAGGTGACAGTCCTAAGGTACCAGGACCTTACAAGTACAAAGCACAAACTCTTCTACTGAGCTACATTCTGGGACTTTTTTGGGGGGGTGGGGAGGGACCGCAGCGCAGGGAACCATCAGATCTTCACGCATATAAAGCATGTGCTCTACCACTTAGCAGCACATTTTGGCCCACAATGACCATTACTTTTTTCTGGTGGGAGGGCCAGGGTGGCCCACACCCAGCAGTATTCAGAGCTTACTTCGGGCTCTGTGCTTAGGAGTGACCCCTAGTCCCACAGCCAGGGACTGAACTGGGCTTGACCACATGCAAGGCAAACACTTTACTATCTCTCTAGTAATTATCATTCGTTCACTCATAATCTTCCTAATGACCCAAAGGATACATTCTGTCACTGTCCTCCCGTTGTTCATCGATTTGCTCGAGCGGGCCCAGTAACATCTCCATTGTGACAATTGTTACTGTGTTTGGCATATCGAATAAGTCACGGGGAGCTTGCCAGGCTTTGCCGTGAGGGCGAGATACTCTCAGTAGCTCCGAAAGGGGTGGAGGAATCGAACTCGGGTCGGCCATGTTGGCCGCTTGGAAGGCAAATGCCTTACCCGCTGTGCTATCGCTCCAGCCCAAGGATACATTAATTGGTAATTTTTATAAGGCAAAGTTTTAAAGATTAAATTAAAATGTCATGTACCAGTGCATTTTCACTCTCATATAAACAGAGCTTGCCCTTTTATTTATTTTCTTATTTATTTTCAAGTAACGTCCAGATTTTATTAACCTAGAATTATCCCAAGCATCTCAGTCTTTGTCCAGGAGCTCTGACTGTGTGACTCTCATTCCCATCCCTAGTCCAGGTATCACGAAACTTGACCTCACTGGAGATTACACTTTACAGTTAAGATTCAGATCTCTAAGACATGAGAGCAGGGAAGGTCGGTAAGATAATGGTAGAGAGATCCTGAAGCACCGGCAGATAACTGATAGAGCAGCTCTGTGAGTATAAAACAACTTCAATAGTATTGCCAATTATGACACTCCAATAACAAACTAATCAAAAAAGATTCAATTCTAAACCATCCTGAAATGTAAATCATTGAAAGGGGTACTGAATATTTAATAATTCTCATTCTCATCCCCAGACTTTACCGGAGATTCACTTTCAAGTTTCTCAGTATTAATCACTGGAAACCCAAGCACACAGATCTGGGTTCTTTCATGTAATTTGTCCTATTTCATGCCCATAGTATGAGAACATATAACTATGAGTTGGTAACAGCAAATGTCACACTATAATCGTTATAATTACTTCATAAGTTTCTGAAATCAGAACTGAAAGCCAGAGGCAAATTAAACTGGAAGCTGTTTTAGAAAATCCCCAAGGTTCTCCCACGTACTGAGGACTAACTGAATGTTTTCCTATGTTAGTACAGGAAAAGTCCTTGTAGATTTTCAGATATTCGCAGAGAAGTGATGGGCCTACATGTTTTCAATTAATAACCAATGATATCTTTTGTTACTTTTATTTGTTCTTATGCTATTTCTGGGCCCACAGGAAAGAAATCACTTGCAGCAACTAAATCTACAAGTTAAACCAGTGGATTATATTGGCCCACTGCCAGCAGCAGCCAATCAAAAACCCTTCACAGAAACCTCATTCGCCTGGAAAATTGGCCTTAGTTATCATGTAACTTGATTTTCTCTTCAGAAACATCTTCTAAAGAAACACTTTCAAGTACTCATTGATGCAATATCATCAAGAGAAATCCAACTCTGACCACACTTCTAGATCCAATTCTGACCACACTTTGTTTGGTTTTAATTTACAAAACAAACAAGCTAGAGAATGTGAACGTTTACCACAGGAGCACAATCAGAAAAAAGTTTAAATATAGGAATCTCAAAGACAAACCTGCTAGTTCTTCAACCAAAAATTCCAAGTATAAAAGAGGAGAAACTTAAGATTAAAGGAAATGGCAAAGACCTATCAATTCCATAACAATATGTAACTTCATTTTGGATTCTAATAATACACTATCTGTCACACATATCATGAAGCCAAACACAGAAACCATTAAAAAACTTATGACGGGGGCTAGAGAGATAGCACAGCGGGTAGGGCGTTTGCCTTGCACACAGCTGACCCGGGTTCGATTCCCAGCATCCCATATGGTCCCCTGAGCACCGCCAGGAGTAACTCCTGAGTGCAGAGCCAGGATTAACTCCTGTGCATTGCCACCTGTGACCCAAAAAGCAAAAAAAAAAAAAAAAAAAAGACATTCATAAAGTAATTTGATATTGCTTATTTGGTGGTTTTAAGAAATTACTCTTTTAAGTGTGATAATGGTACATTAAAAAAAATCACTTTGGGCTGGAGCGATAGCACAGCGGGTAGGGCGTTTGCCTTGCACGTGGTCAACCCGGGTTGGATTCCCAGCATCCCATACGGTCCCCTGAGCACCGCCAGGAGTAATTCCTGAGTGTAAAGCCAGGAGTAACCCCTGTGCATCACCTGGCATGACCGAAAAAGCAAAAAATAAAAATAAAGATAAATAAATAAATAATCACTTCTTGCCACATTCTCTCCCCAGGACATTCGCTCGCATCTTCGCCCGAGATGTGAACCGTGGCCTCTTCCCCCTCTGGGGAAGCCCATGTCTCTCTAGAGCACATACCTCTCCCCTCTCAGACTTCTTGAAATATATTTCACTAAATATTGTAAAATAATATCAAAAAATAAATATTTTTCAAAAGTAAAAACAATAATTTATGTTTTTGAGATACATACTAATATATGTGCAAAAAATATGTAATATTTCTGATGGATTTCTACTTTCACATGGATGCGAAGTGAGTTCTCAGGTTTCTTTTTAGCAGTCAAGACTAGTTGCATTCTCGTATGGATCTGCCACCCTTGCTTATGCACAGTGGCATGCCACACTTTGTTATCCAAGTGTGTTTCTATTCTCTACTGAGCGCGATAGCACAGGGGTTTGCCTTGCATGTAGCCAACCTGGGTTTGATTCCTCCATCCCTCTCGGAGAGCCTGGCAAGCTACTGAGAGTATCCCACCCGCACGGCAGAGCCTGGCAAGCTCCCCATGGCATATTCAATATGCCAAAAATAGTAACAACAAGGCTCACAATGGAGACATTACTGGTGCCCACTCAAGCAAATCAATGAACAAGGGGAGGACAGTGCTACAGTGCTACAGCGAGATACATACTAAGATAATTACGGGAAAAATGATATGTTTGAAATCTGCTTCAAAAAATCGAGGAGTAGGAAAAGTGGAAAGAGACATAGATAAAACTAGATTGACTATGAGATATTGTTCAATCTAGGTTCATGATATGTGTGACAGATAGTGTGTTATTCTGCTCAGTATACTTCGGTGTGTGTGTGTGTGTGTGTGTGTGTGTGTGTGTGTGTACGTACGTGTGTGTGTGGGGGGGGGGGCAATGCCCAGTGGTGCCTGGAGGTCACTACAAGCAAGGTTCCATGGATCTTGTGGTTCCAGAAGCAAATGAGGGGATCCTGCATGCAAAGCACATGCTTCAGCCTTCTGAGTCACCTCCAAGACTGAGAGTATATTCTAACACAGTAAATTGGGTAATATAGTTACAGTAGTATTCAAGTTTATGGTACTGAGATAAGGTTGCCACAGAATGCCACCTCAGTGGCCATAACATCCCTGTCCCTATGTCACCTCTGCTCTGGCTTTCCTTCCTTTCCTAACACCCATCCCAATTCTTTATTGATTGACAATTATAGTTTCAGTATATGAAAATGTATGTGTGTGCATGTTTGCATTTTTCAACTTTTAGAAATGTTTAAAAAGGTCATGCGCAGAGTCAGAGTCTAAACCACCAATATGAAGCTATAAACTCACTCCTATCCAGTTCTAAGACTGTGAGTACTAGTCTGCCTTTGGTGGAAAACTCCACCTTAGCAGCCACTCACTGATCTTCCTTTCATGCCTTATACTGATTTCTTCCATGGACACAGGTTCACACTTCTACAGATCAACAGGACAATGCAAGTATGTTCCTTGCGTGCAGTTCATAGTAACAGACCAGCTTTCATTCTTGTGCATCTCTGTTCTGCAGGAAGCCTAATGAGGTGATAAGCAGATGTTCCCATTCCAAAAATAAACCCCCTTTATCAAAATCCTTTACTTGAAACCAAGTGTGGCATGAAAACGAGACAGGCTACATGACCGCAGGATTTAATGGGACACTAGGAAAAGGACAGAGATCAAAGCATAGAAGATAAAGCAGATTTCAAAGTAAACAGTCATATCAATAATTACATAATGATCCTAATTGATAAGCTGCTGTTAGCAGTAATATGTGAAATGGAACACCATCATTTTCTCAAAATTCAGTTGCTTTTTTAAATCACAATTAGTTTTGTGCACAGTCATCGCATGACAAACATTTCTGACTTGCCCAGGTTTCTTTTTCTTGAGAGACCCTCTATTCAGGAACTGACCCAGGCAAGCAGGGCCTACTATATCAGTCCCTACCTGTGTCCCGACTGCTCTGAGACATGGAATCACTCTCCACGTTATAGATGACTGTCCCCTGAGACTCAGAAGAGAAGTGACTGACCACAGACTCATGGTGGGAGTGTTTGTAGGGACAGCTCTCCGCAGAGGAATCTGTTCGAGTGTCACTGGAGATGGAAGGCTCCCTCCCTGAGGGAAGGAGGAGACACACGGGAAAGTGAGGACAGAGAAGAACAGACACAGAAGAAGGCAAAGAGATGGAAGGCGACAAAGGTCCGTAAGGTAAGAGTTTCCTAGATGAAAGGGTGAGAAGGAGACACCAGAGCCATTCGCCCCAACACCCAACTTCCGGATAACCCAGACACACAAACAAGTTCTCCCATTCCTGCCCCTACCTTGCTGAAGCCCTCACTTTGCCTGCCACTGTCAAAAACTGTGGGGCTTTTAGAAAACCTATGGGGGGAAAGCGGAAAGGAAAAAGTTGTGAAAAGTAACATCTAATTAGATGGAGAGTCCCAGGTCGACCTGGCATATATAATCAGTTGTTCCCTTATCCCATCATTTTTCTGCAATACTGCCAGAAATGTCATTTCAAACACTAAATTGACATTATAAGCACTTTTTATATCACTGAGGAGTTATGGGGCTGCAATTTCTACTTTAGTGTGAATGCGTTAAGTCAGTCTATACTTTCCTTAAAGTCTCCCGAGATGCACCCAACAGTGGAGATAGTGTCAGACTGGAGGGAGAAGTCACTGAGCAGGTCTGGGTGAGGTGTCAGAGTAGGAAGAGCAGGGACGAGCAGGAGGGAGGGTCAAAGGCGGGGGCGGGGGGGGGGGGGAGGGCAGAGACCAAAGACTGATGTCCTCTCCTTCAAAATGTATACTCGAGTCAACCCGAGTCTAAAAGAGGACATTTCTTCTTCCCGTTCATAAATCAAAATCTATAGGGCTGTAAAGCCTGGTGTCTAAGAAATTATTAGCCTCTGTAGGTTAACCTCAGACTCTAGGCATCATGCCAAAATTGTGAGAAAACTGTCTCTACAGGTGAAGATGATTAAAAGTCCAGACACTCGAACTAGAAGTGGACAAGTCATTGATAAGCTGAGGGATTTCACTCTCTCATTTGGCATTTTGAAACAAAAATATCACCCCCTGACCCTCCAAGATAACTAATTCTGTAATACTCAAATCATTTTTATCGGCCTTGTAACAAGTCTCACAATGTTACTGGGTTCGCTCGAGCAAATCGACGAACAATGGGAGGACAGTGACAGTAACAGTGATTTTTATCAGCCTCCATCTCACGTAAATTGCTATGAAACTGCTGGTAACAACCGTCACCTTTGAGCTGAGGTCAGCAGAGGGGAGTGGAACAGGGTCTGAAAGGAAGAGGGCCTGGTGGACTCTGGCACAGGGACAAGGGGATACTGGGGATGGCTGTGGGGGGCTGCAAACAACACAAAGGTCTGAAACTGGACCCCTGAAACTGACTCCTGCAGACCATCATTACCTCATAACATGAAAAAGGAAAGGACCCGGAACCTTAGTCAAACAAAAAACTAACATCTTGGTTAAAGTCAACAACATGATTTCCTTCTAACTTCTGAACTGGGGCCAAGTGATTTTGGCAGTGCATTCTCGCCAGATAAAGGAGACAGGTCTGGCACTGCCTGGGCCTCAGCACCCGTCGGCTCTTCTCTCATATCCATCTCACAGACTCCCCCTCGCCAAGGCCGGTCACGTATGACTCAGGATCAATAAGGAGCCCCAAGTGTTCCAAGAGCACGCTGGAAAGGGGCTGGGGAGGAAGGGCAGACCAGACCAAGGCTGCTCACCTGAGTCTTCACTGTCATAGCACGTCCTGCTGTATGGCTGGAACTCGACTTGAGGGGGCAGGTCCTGTGTGGACACTGGGGTCCCCTGAGGGTCCGCATAGAGCAGCAGCAAAGGCTGATAATGCCCCTTGATGCATTTGGTCACCACATCTTTCCATTTGGGCCCAATCTGGACCAAAAATAACCAGAACAACATGATGATTATACTTCACAGCCACAATTCAAAATATAGCTAGCCATTCTATTTTTCTAAAAAAAAAATGAAGACAATGGAAGGACAAGTATTGGGTAAAAATAATTGTTAACCTTAATGGAACAACAAAAGTGATTTTGTCTAAACTTCATTTTTTTTTGCTTTAAAACCCTTTAAATAGCATTAAAAGTCTGTATAAAAAAGGGATGAGTAAAATTACTTTTATTTCTAAAAACAGCAATTCAGTTATGAATTATATGAAAATACATTTTCCAAGGTGGATTATTATGTAAGAAGCTTTCAGCTTGCCTTTGTAATCAAATATTTCACAGACAAAATTAAAGTCCTCGCTTCAATTTTGTATTCCTATAAATTTCTCCTATATTTTAAAAATCACTTTTATGACATCAGAGAACAAACAAAAACTCTCATATCCTGCCTCTCTGGTACAGAGTTCACACGTGACAGTTACAGAGTTCACACATGGCAAGATGTAAAATGTCAAACTTCTTAGAATAGACAGCCGAAACTCTTGACCTCAGCTTTATGCTCGATTCAGCACTCCCACAGCAGTGGAAGAGAGTGATCTAACAGCTACTAAAACATCGAATCAAATTCTCCAAGTTAGCCTCTCATAAGCTCTAGCAGGCCACATTCTTAGATGATGTGCTCTTGACGTCAGACAACTAGTATGTTGCTTAGTTCAGAGCTGAGGTCTAATAGATCTTTAATGAGGTTATTGCAACTAAAACACATTCACATGCTTCTTTCACATACATACTGTAAGTAGGCATAATTTTTAAGTTAAAAAACTTAATGCTCAAAGAACTTATTTAAGTTGCTCAAAATCAGAGCACATGCCTTGCATGTGTGAGGCTTTATGCTCTATTCCTAGCACTACCAAAGAAAAAACTTACAATAGAGGTTAGGGAGATGGAGCAATGGTGAGCTGACATGCTTGGTAGGCAGGAGCCCCCGGTTTGATGTCTGGTACCTCACAGACCCCAGGGCATCCTTGGGAGTCATCCCTGAGCACTAAAGGTATGGCCCAAAACCAAAGAGGATAAAAAGAGAAAAGAAGTTTTAAAAATCAGGGGATTTGGGGCTGGAGCGATAGCAGAGCAGATAGGGTGTTTGCCTAGCACCCGGCTGACCCAAGTTCAATTCCCAGCATCCCATGTGGTCCCCTGAGCACTGCCAGGAGTAATTCCTGAGTGAGGAGCCAAGAGTAATCCCTGTGCATTGCCGGTGTGACCCAAAAAGTAAATAAATAAATATTTTTTTTAAGAAATCTACTTAAAAACCAGGGGATTTGACAAACACTTTCCCATTCTGGAAGAATGCCTCCGGGCCACAGATAGACACAGCTCACAGGCTACAGTCAAAGGCTCTGTGTTTAGATTGTAGTTTCCAACTTTAAATGTTATCATAGCCTGGTTTTTCCTATGACATCCCAAAAATACATTAATCAGTAATAAGGCATTTCAGGGAGGATAAACATTACAGAATAATTTTTAGCAAGCAGCCCTGAGTCCATAGATTCTAAGATTTGAAATCCTAAGCTTGTTTCTAACCTTCTCATTTCATTTGAGGAATTAGACAACTTTCACACAAATTGATTTAACATCTTGGAGATGTTAAGACTTGGAGAAAATAACAGAAGATAGATTGTCCTATCCTTGAGGACTTGCTGTCTATCAAGGAAGATAAGACTGATAACCTCCTAAGTTCACCAGACAGATAAGCAGACATGAAAATTACAAAAATGAAACAATGAAGGTAAATAATGAATTCTAGCTCTTTGTTGGGTTCCAACACTCCCAGGAGGCCTTGAACAGTCCTACCTCCTTGACATGCGCATCATCAAAATACATCCATTTACGGATCTTTGTTTGGAAAAAAAATGTAGAATAATGTTTGCCATAGTAGCAGATCATTCCCACTAAGTACAGCTCCGACTGCTTGGCCCGGTCATCAGTCACACGGAAGAATAGCTAGGACGAAAAAGGAGAAAGGAATGAATCGATGCATGTTCTTTCACCCATCTCTTTGTCCATCATTTAATTAACGTACTGAGTAGCTTCGTGGACAGGTAACAGCTTAGAGAATTCATAGCCTCAAAACCAGTTTTGCAACAGGCGTGAAGGGGCTTCTTTAGAGGCAGGACAAACATCTCAGCACTCTGCCACTGAGTCTGGGACGCTCTCCTGGGGATTGTGGCTCCCCACCCCACACTAGATTAAGAAAGATTAAGAAAGATCTGCTTATTACAAGCTTGGTAAGGGTATAATCCTTTCTCATTAATGAATTCATGCTTCACGTATGTTGAACGTGCAATGTCTATTCAGGTGGTTTGTTTTTTTCCCCATAGATAAGATTCTGTTGTTGTTGTTGCTTCGAGGGTGGGACAGCTACACCCTGCAGTGCTCAGGGCTCAGGGCTCACTCCTGGTGGAGGCTCGGGGGACCATATAAAATGCCAGGAATTGAATCCAATTCAATCCAATCCAATTCATCAGAGTGCAAGGCAAGCACACTGCCCACTGTACTATTTCCTTGGTCCCAACAAGATTTTTATTAGTCTTTTACTTATCAGTGCAGATGTTTAGGTATTATCTATAATGTAGTATTTTCTAACATAAAGCCAATATTCCCTTTTTAGGATAAAACACATTTTTATACTCTTTTAGGCCTATTCAGAGTTCCCCTTAAAATTTTCTTAATTCTCCTCTCTTCATTCTTACTTTTATATATTTTAAATGCATAGAATTAGTCAGACTATTTTTTAATTTGTACCTATAAAAAAGAAAGAAAAATATAAAAACTTTTTAAAGTTTTTTTTATCAACTAATTGCTTTAAAATTTTTGTGGAAATTCAGTTTAGCTTTATTCATCTATATGTGTATAGATATTACCACTTCCTAATAAATTCTTTAAAAATAATCTCTCATATGTGGAATTACATAGAGAAATATAATAAGGGACCAATAAATGGCCGAAGTCATTGGAACTGGAGATTTTGCTTATGAATTAAGCTTATATGGAAGGAGCTACTGGGCACTGTTAAGGGGAAGGTGGGCTCTCTGGAGCTGGGGTGGTATTGGAACAGGAGCGATAGTACACAGGATAGGGCACTTGCCTTGTATTCAGTTGACCCAGGTTCGATCCCTGGCATCCCATATAGTCCTGAAGCACCACCAGGAGTAATTCCTGAGTGCGGGGTCAGGAGTAACCCCTGAGCATCACCGGGTGTGACCCAAAAAGTTCCTCCCACGCAAAATAAGGGAAGCATTTTGGCAGTGGGAATGGTATAGCAACATACATTTGAATTTGTGAACTTGTACTACACGAAACAGAAAGTGCTTGCTTTGCAAATGGCTGATCTAGGCTCAATCCCCAGCACCCCGTGTGGTTCCCTGCGTACCACCAGGAGTGATCCATGAGTGCAAAGCCAGAAGTAAGCCCAGAGCACCACCCAAAGACCAAAAAAAGAAAAAAGAAAAAGAAGAAATTGTACCAACAAAACATATATAATCTGGTAAAACAGTGTTACCTCAATTAAAAAAAAAATCATACTTTTACACCTACCCAGAAGATGTATGTGAATAATGTAAGTGTATGTAATATATGTACATGTACATAAACACAAATACATTTGTTTCTGGCTTTATAATATTATCATCGAGTGTATATTTTTGGGTTTAGTATTAAGTGTTTTTGAGTATTACTAAAAGACAAGAAATCTAAATCAGAGATAAAGGAAACTAACAACTCACATCACCCAGCTTAAGGCAGGTCCCCAGACTGTGAATGACATCTTCTGCCAAATCTGAGTGGTCTGAGTCCCAAACCAGCCCAATGGTGATGATCTGTGGTGCATTCATCAGCACACGGCGAATCCGAATTCTCTCTCCGCAATTGCTCTGAAAAACGTGTAGAAGGCTGGTGTGAGTGTTCCCTCCCCCTCAATCAGCCTCAATTCCAGTGACCCCAGGGCTCCCCCCCAGGTTGCAAACACCCTTCCAGAGAACTCACCGGACAATTCCGCAGGTCCCCCATGGTGCTGGCATTCTGCAGCAGCTCCCCAAACATGCGAGGCGAGGGCTTCTCTCTTCTCTCCAGCATACAAATAGCCTGATTGCTTCAAGACGGGGAATGGGAGTGGGATGATGGTAGGAATTATACATTCACAGCTAAATCAAAAGTGTCATTCATGCAAACAGCTGATTCCCGTGTTTAAGGTTCACCCCCTGCCCAGTACACCAACATTCCTTGTCCTGATCAGCTTCTGTACCCCACAACCACAGTGAGAATTTCTGCCTGTCCCTAAACCCAAAGCTCACAGAAACCCCGTTCTTCTTTTCACATTGCTTGCCTGAACTAAGCCTAGGGAAAGTTGAGAAATTGAAAAGTATAAGAGAACAAGGGCTATTTTTAAATTACTATTCTGAATGTTTACACTACAGCATAGAATAAGCAGTAAGGATATAAGCGACATGAATGCCTTCAGTAAAACCCAAACAACTGGCAGAGCTCTTAAGAGGATCTACAGGGAACTCTGTACAACTCACCAAAGAGAAGTGGTGGAAATGTAATGCACCATCTGGATGAAAGGCAGAGGATCAGAAGTCGCACCACAGCTAGTACACACACACTGGACCCAAGGAAAATAAAGATAATTAAGCAGTCAAGTTACTAACTGGTTTTATTTTGTTTTGGGGCCACACTCAGTGATGCTCAGGGGTTGTTCCTGGCTCTGCACTCGAGAATCACTCCTGGCAGTGCTCAGGGAACCATATGGATGCCAGGGACAGAATCAAGGTTGGCCGTGTGCGAGGCAAATGTCCTACCCACTGTACTATCACTCCAGCCCTCACTAACTGGGTTTACACCCATTTTACAACTCACATCCCAGGATAAAGTGTTGTAAGGAATCACAAATCACAAAAATCACAAATCATCCTGTTAATCGTCGATTGCCTCGAGCAGGCCCCAGTAACGTCTCCTTCGTCCTAGCCCTGAGATTATATTCAAGGCTCTTTAGGAGAATGAGACCCATCATTGTTACTGGTATTTGGCATATTGGGTACGCCACGGGAAGTTTGCCAGACTCTGCTGTGTGGGCAGGCTACATTCGGTAGCCTGCCAGTTTGTCCAAAGTAGGAATGAGATAATAAGATGTCATAAAAGGATGTCGCGCGGCCGCATTGTAAGGAAACGTTGTAAGGAAAAGGTCTAATAAGTGATAGAAATAGAGAGATGGTTACCTGCTCAAATAATGTCATGGCAAATTTCTGGTGGGAAATGCAGTGTTTGGTAGTACATATATCCTCTTTAGTTTCATCAGCAATGTGGAAGTGAATTCTCATTAGAAGGTTTTCCTAACAGTAAAAGAATAAGAGCAGAATATGAACAATACAATAGATAAATTAGTAAGCAATTTTTTTCAGAGAAATAACAGCCTTTCTATAAGGAACACCTTTGATTTTTTTCAACGTTGAATTAGAAAAAAATTTAAAATTTATAGTAATTTGTGAATTACTATGAATTTTAAATTTAAATTTCAAAAAAATTGCAGAGAAGAGACATGTACCTGTCATCGATTTCTTGAGTAACTATAGCATACTAGTCAGACCAGGAAATGGATATCAACACAATTCCAATCTACCGGTTTTACACATATTCATGTATGCATATATATTAGTTCTATGCAATTTCATCATCTGTATAAGTCACTTAACTGCTATCACATAAAGATATAAAACTATTCCACCACCACAAGAATCCTTTATGCTATCTTTGATAGCCTCACCTATCTAATGATAATCGTAACACTAAATCTGTTCCTCCATCTCAATAAATTTTGTGTGTGGTGTTGCCAAGCACTGCACGCAGGTTTCTGAGTTCCACATTCACACTATAATTTTGTTACTTCCCTATAAACTTATGTGTGGTGACTACACATTATATAATCTTTGGGAAGTTTTGCTTGCTTATTTAGCTGGTATGGGGGCCACACCCAGCTGTGCTCAGGGCTTACTCCTGTCTCTCTGCTCAGGGATCATTCCTGTCATTGCATGGGGACCATAACTGGTGCGGTGGGGGGGGGGGGGGGGGGGGAAGGGGCTGATCCAGGGTGCAAGGCAAACACCTTTGTCCCTCTACTCTTTCTCAGGATCCTCAGATTTCTCAAAAATAAAGAACCTTTTGAAGGTTGATGACTAGAATCCAGAGTTCAGAATGATTTGGATCTTCTGTTAAAAGTCAGCAGAAAATAATGAACGTAGAGGTCTAAATAGTATATCAGACTTGTTCTAAGAATGTAGTTATTCTTCTCTATTATTATTATCATTAATTTTGCTTTTTGGGTAATATCCAGCAGTGTTCAGGGGTTACTCCTGGCTCTGCACTCAGGAAATACTCCTGGTGGTACCTGGGGGACCATATGGGATGCCGGGTTTTGAACCCGGATCGGCTGCATGCATGGCAAATGCCCTACCCTACTGCTGTACTATTGCTCCATCCCCATCTCCATTATCTTCTATAATGCAGAAAATTTCAAAGCCTGGTCCCAAAACAGGTGGTATCAATATTAGCAACACGAGGGAACTTGTTAAAGATATTCTTGGTTGAGCAACAAAACTGTGGAAACTCAAGAGTGGCAGGGTTTGTCTTTTTAAAAGTCCCATCTCTGAAGGTGACAGTCACTGTTATCTTAGACAATAGCAAGCACAAAGAATAAATTTACTAAGCAATTCATGTACATTAACAGAGACAGAGCTAAGACTAACCAGGAAAATTGCTAGTTTTTGCATTTGTTTAGTAGTTACTAGTTTTTATTTGTAGAGTAAATGACAAGTTTTCATAATTGAAAAGACCAGGCACTGGACAATCCACACTAACACTGAGAAAGACTGTCAAGAGTCCCACCCACATCAAAGACGGCCAGAGGGCAATGCTTACAAAGCACTCAGCAGCATCGTCCATAATTCCCAGCTGGAAACGTTGCTCATCCTGAAAAGTCTTTGCCAGAGCACTTCGAAGAGTGTCGGATGGAAGCACTTTTTCACTACTGCACTGAAACTGGTTAAAGATTCCCTGCAGGAAAGAAAGCGGGAAGGTATAACACTGTTATTTAGTATGCAGTTACATCTCTGTCTGTAATGTTATTTTACATGCTTTGAGTTACGGAAGAAGTGCACACTACCCACAAATTGATATACTTCAAGTTTGTATGCAAAGACTGAGATATCAGGAATCATAGACCCAAAGGAATAACTCAGTGGCTGAGAACACCTGCCCTGCAAGAATATGGTTGCAAATTTTATCACAGCAGATCTGCTTTATACCTAAAGTAGCATAACAAATGACTTCCAGCCATACCACAGCCAGGAGAGAGTAAACCCCATACTAGTGGGATATGAGGGCCAGAGCAGTGGATAGAGCTTTTGCCTTGCATAAGGCTGACCCGGGTTCAATCCCCAGCACCCCATATGGTCTCGCCCAAGTACTACCAGGAGTAATTTCTGAGTGCAGAGCCAGGAGTAACTCTGAGTATTGCTGGGTGTGACCAAAAAAAGCCAAAAACAAAGCAACAACAAAACCCACAATTTTGCTAGTGATCTCTTATAGAAGGGCTTAATGGCCTCTGGGTGAAATACAACAATCTTCACACTCTTTCCTCTAAGAAAACTTTGTAGAATTTTCAGAGGTTTTTCAAAACAAATAATACAAAATAAATGATTTCAGTTCTGCTTTGGGGCAGGGGTTGGGATTCAGGATAAAAACATCCGAAACATGGTGGTGGGACTGATGCTTGAATATTAAATGTAATCAAATATTGTGAACTACTTTATAAAACAACAACTGTCCTCCCGTTGTTCATTGATTTGCTCGAGCGGGCACCAGTAACGTCTCACAACAAATTGTGAGACTTGTTGTTACTGTTTTTGGCATATCGAATATGTCATGGGTAGCTTGACAGGCTCAGCCGTGCAGGCAGGATACTCTCGGTAGCTTGCTGGGCTCTCCGAGAGGGATGGAGGAATCGAATCCAGTTGGCCGTGTGCAAGGCAAACACCCTATCCACAGTGCTATTGAGAGAAACTGTAAGGAACTCCTTGGAGCCAAAAATTTTACTATCTTGTTCGGCAGCACATATACTAAAAAACAACAACAACAACAACAACAACAAAAAACCCACATGGGATCTGACCCCCAGCAAGCACTACAACAAAAATGTATGAACTTTGGTGAGTAACATGGCCAAGTGATTTGTGACCCCCTGCAAGCACCACAACCCAAAAAACAAAAATTTGCCATGGTGTGTATGTGACCTCTTCACAACATCAAAAGGATAAAGGGAAGGGAGTATTTTTTCTTTTTCTAAATCTAGAGTCAGAATGGGCTAGAGCGATAGCATAACAGGTAGGGCATCTGCCTTGCACGTGGCTGACCCGGCCGACCGGGGTTCGATTCCTCTGCCCCTCTCAGAGAGCCCAGCAAGCTACCGACAGTATCTCAACCACACAGCAAGCCTGGCAAGCTCCCGATGATGTATTTGATATGTCAAACATAGTAACAACAAGACATTATTGGGCCCGCTCAAGCAAATCAATGAACGATGGGAGGACAGTGCTACAGTGCTACAGAGTCAGAATAAAGTGCATGAGAAAGAGTGAGATAGCGCAAGAAGGTGGAACACAGGCCTTGGGTGTGGGAGGTCCAGGTCTGATCCCGCACTGCAAGAGCAACCCCCAAACACAGAGCCCAGTGTAGTCACCAATCACCAGGAGGTTTGCTCCCCTCCCACCACAATACATACAAAAACCCAACAAAATTAAGTGTTACAGGATTCTGCTCATTCCATCTGAGTGTGGTGCCATCAAAACCACATTAGGAAGCCATGTAGACAGACACTTTCCCACAACAGACATCCAGAAATGGCATATGAAAATGTGTTCATCATTATTATCAGGGAAATGAAGACCAAAATGACAGCAAGGTATCATCTCACACCAGTGAAAATGGTATATATCAAAGAGTCTGGAGACAACCAGTGAGAAGGGAAGTGCTAAGAAAGGAGACCTTATTCACTGTTGGTAAAAATGTCATCTGGTCCAGCCCTTATGAAAACAGTCTGGAGACTTCTTTTAAAAGGTAAGAAGAGCGCTTTCAGGTGACCCAGTGAATCCACTTCTTGGCATATCTATCCATAAACTCAAAAATAGTTATCTGAAAAGATACATGCCCACCTACCTAAGTTCACTGCAGTGCTTATAGTACAAGAGCCAGAATAAAGAAAAACCCAAATGCCCCACAACAAATGACTTAAAACCACTTGGCGATGCACACAACAGAATACTACTCAGCTATAGGAAAAGATTATATCTTGCTGTTCGCTACAACTCAGATGGAACTAGAAGGCATCATATTACGTGAACTTAGTCAGAAGACAAATACCAGATGATCTCAATCGTCTGTGATACATAGAGAAATAAAACAAGAGAATAGATAGTATCAAAGGGTAACAAACATTTGGTCTTAGATTCCAAAACTAGATTACCACAATGGGAAGCAGGAAGAGGCAGATTAGCTCTGATACAAGGATAGTGCTGGAGGGTCTTGAATATGTTGGTGCTGATGAAGGCGAAGGAACTATTTATATTAAAACCATAACCACTTGGGTTGCAGGGAAAAGAGAGTGGTAGTACAGAGGGGAGGGCACTTGACGTGCATGTTGTAGACCCCGGCCCAGGTTCAATCCTTGGCACCACATATGAGGCCCTGAGTTCTGCCAGGAATAATTCTTGAGTGAAGAGCCAGGAGTAAGCCCTGAGCACTGCAGGATGTTGGGTCCCCCAAAAGAATCCAAAAAAGTGGATAAAATAAAACCATAACCAGTGGGTCTGAACAGAATACAGCAGGGAGGGTTTTTGCCTTGCATGTAGCCGACCTGGGTTCAATCCCCATCACTCTGGTGGTCCTCCAAGCCCCATCAAAAATGATCTCAGAGTACAAAGCCAGGATTAAGCCCTGAGCACCACCATGTGTGGCACCAAAACCAAAGCAGAACAATAACCATTAACACTATTATAACCATGAGGCGTACACTACAATAAATTAGTTTAATTAAAAACCAGAGCATCTTTTATCGAAATAATGAATGTAATCAATGTAGAGAAGAGTTAAGTGGAAATCATCTGCCTCACAGGCACTGGGAGGGGTGGGGGGGGGTATATTTGGGTTCTTGGTGGTGAAAAATGAGTACTGGTGAAGGGAAAGGTGTTTGATCATTGTGTGACCGAGACTTAAACCTGAAAGCTTAGTAACTTTTCCCACAGTGATTCAATAAATAAATATAAGAAAAATAAATAAATAAAACTATGAAAAAAGGTGGAGTTTATGCCCAATTCAATCAGCTAATCAGTGACTGAATAAATAGCAGTTCTTCTACACTAAAAAAAAAAAAAAAAAAAAAAAAAAAAAAAAACAGAGAATCTGGAAACAACCTGAGTGCTCGAGAACAGATGAAGAGCTAAAGAAACTATGGCACATCTACACAATGAAATACTACGCAGCTGTTAGGAAAAATGAAGTCATGAAATTTGCCTATAAATGGATGGACATGGAAAGTATGCTGAGTGAAATGAGACAGATAGAAGAGGGACAGATATAGAATGACTGCATTCACTTGTGGTATATTTAAATATATATAGTAGATTCCGAGGAGAATAACAAGCTACAGAGCTGCCTCGAGACCCCATGCTAGGTCGAGTCTTAAGGGGTGCCCTGGAGGGGGGCAGGTGAGCCCACCACCTGCCCCAACAGAGTCTCAGCAGCCAAAAATCTCCAGAACCCAATTACCACCATCCTTATGGCCTATCTCCACAGGCTCAGGACAAATCTCATCCATGAGAATGAATCTGTTGAGAAAAACAGGTATGCAGATTTTGTGACCAAAATCTCCAGGTTCTCATGGAGTCGGGAATGGACGACCTCCCCCCATCTCCCTGTTCTTCCAGGAGCCTGGCCGTCACATCCACGAATTGCCTCTGGTAATATCATTAAATCATTAATCTGGTAAGCTCCTTAAAAGCCATGATTCAGAGACTCACAAATAATCTTGGAGGAGAGCAACAAGCTGCAGAAATGCCTCCAGATCCAAAAGTCACCATCCAGTTTAATCTTTAACTCCAGCTGTAAAACCCTATTTAAAATTTTAGAATTCCTGGAGCATGCAGTCACGACACACCATACTCTATGTCACTGATGCACAATACCACATTTGGTGGGGTATAAAGTAAAAGGCAACCAACCTTGATTACAGACACACACACACACACACACACACACACACACATATACACACACATATTAGCACACAAGGCTCAATCTATAACAACATAACAATATGTTAGTAATCTCTTATACAAGGCTTTAAAGGCTCCAGGGTGAGATACAACAATCTTCACACCCTTTCCCCTAAGCACACATTTTTTTTTATCATTTTCAGTGGATGGGACTGGAGCAATAGCACAGAGGGCAGGGCGTTGGCCTTGCACCCAGCCGACCCAGGTTCAATTCTTCCGTCCCTCTCAGAGAGCCCAGCAAGCTACCGAGAGTATCCCGCCCGTATGGCAGAGCCTGGGAAGCTCCCCGTGGCATATCCTATGATATGCCAAAAACAATAACAACAAGTCTCATAATGGAAAAGTTATTGGCGCCCACTCGAGCAAATCGATAAACAATGGGAGGACAGTGCTACAGTGCAGGACAGTGTGCTACAGTACTTTTAGTGGATTATTCTTAGCAAGCAATACAAAATAAATTATTTAGGAGCTGCTTTTGGAGCAGATTTGGATGGTAATGGAAAAATTTGAAATAATGGTGGTGGGAAGGTATAATGAGGACTGGTGTTGGAATAGTGAGTGCAAAAATTATTGTGACCCACTTTATAAAAATAAAATTAAATTTAAAAAAAAACAGGAGCCAGGACTGGTCAATAGTTGGAATCTACCACAAGTGTGTGGGGGGTATAGAGTAGGTAAGACAGAGAAAAAAACCAGTATAACCATAATAATTGGAAATTATCGTGC